CTGTGAAGATTTCTTATGTCTATTTCAATACTCACTGGGTATGCTTGCTGTGATATGCCTGGCACAGCCCCCCCAATGGCCATGTAAAGGTAATGTAAGGGCAGCACTCACGATTAGTTATGCAGGGCACTACTCTATGAGACAGCCTGAAAAACCGCTGCACTGTCTTCCAACAGGTTACATGGTTTCAAGTACACAAAGTACTACTTAAACTACACAAGTACAGAAGTGACAAGCAATAATGATCATATTCTCAACATACTATCTTTTTGGCAAAACATTCACTTATCTATTTCCATCATGTCGGTTGTTTCTTTTAAAACTCTGCCCCGTAACACCTCTGCCAATCCACCAGGTGTGAGCTTCTCTGTTCTAATCCGAGCCCTAAATTACAGTCGACCCGACGCCTCTCCCAGAGCTGGCGCTGATCCCTTTCTCCCAAAACAAGGTTCAGATTCAAAGTTGGGAAAAATCCGTCCATCCAACAACGCTACATCCCCATGGTTCCTAGTACTATGCCATCTTCTGCGAGGCGAAATGGTGCAGGACAGCTGGGGGCAAACGGAAAGCTGCTGTAGTCATTCGTATTCCATGAGGAAAACCAGAGGGCAAGCAATGCAGTGCCAAACCGAGTAAACAGGACAGAGTGCTCTGGCAGAGAAGTCAGATCCACACAAGAGAGGAGAAAATTTTCCCCTCCTCGCCTTTTCCTGCAGGTACGGGCAGGTAGGAGAAAATGCGTCAGCAGTGCTGCTCTCTGTAGTCAGCGCTATAGGACTCACCGTCAAGGAGAAACTGGGTGGAGAGAGGGAGTGGGGAACGAAGTCCGAGAGAGTGAGAGAGAGAATGGGAGGTCCCTCATTCAGAGCGGGGGGAGGAGAGGGGAGGGTGATATATGTTCTGCGGTGCTCTGTCGCTCCAGCCTGATTCAGTTGCAGGGAAAGACGGTTAAGTGACACAGCCAGAATAGCAAAGCACGGGGGGAAACAAATGTAGCAGGGGGGAGGAGAAAGAGAAAATACTGCACATGTGGTCACAGCATCTCCATTCAGAAGAGACAGAGAAAGCTGGAGAGAGAGAGTGAGGATGACAGAGTGTGATACAGTCAGACAGGAATGAGCACAAGTGCACGATCATGTTTAAGACAAAGCTATAAATAGATGGATTTGACATGCATGACGGAGACGAGTGAAAGGACAGGTGTGCCTCTGTGTAGTGTATTCTCATCAACCAGTTTGTCAGCACAATGGAGCCAAAAGCAAAAATCACAAAAGGCAAATGAATATTTGTTTAAATCTCGCTCAGTCAGACTCATGCAAACACAGCAGACTAGAAAATACGCCTAACTTCCTGACACATGCTGTCAACTTAGAGGGATTTCTGCCCTAAATAAAGCCACAGTGGGCGCCTCCAGAAGCACTCCAGAGAGTTAACCTCAGAGCAAACTGGGACAGAGGGGCTCATAAAAGCTCAATGGCTGTCCACACATGCCCCCTACAGGTAATCTGATTAATGTTTCTTTGAAGTGCTGTGTTAAAAGGCAAGTGTGCTGTAAGGTTCTCAGTTTTCAAGAGCACACAAACTGACCGCTCTCATGTACTCCTTGGTCTCAAAATGGCTGCCTCTTACTGGGTATTTTGACTTTTTAGGGTAAATGAAACAGAATGAAAAACCGTAACTCCTTTATCTGTTGAATATTCAACATCTGCAGGTTTGGATGGTTAAACAAATTTGATACCGCATAGCTGCAAAGTAGTAATAAAAATAGTCATATCCCTTTACCTCGTTTATAATTTCAACAATAATCTATCATCGCAACTTAATTATCAAGTTGACATCTCCAAATTACTTTTGAAACAATTGAACAGTTGATAAATTGATCAGTCAATTCACAGAAAACTAACAGATTCAGTCAATTGTTGTATTATATTATTATATTATATTACAGCATGGACTGTGGGAAAAAGAGATGCAACATTTTACTGAATAATCAATTAGTTGTACACTATTAAATTCATCACCAATAAGACAATTTACACTTGCATGATTAATAAAATATATAAAATTAAAAATAACTTATAAACAGATAAATAAGTGGCTACAGCATGACACCATCAGTGTTTAGATTGGCTTAGTTACGCCAGTTTCCCCTTGCAGGATTGTTTAAGTACATTAAGTGTTTAAAGAATATGTGTGTGTATGTATATATATTTACATTTAAGCCATTAGTTTGAGTAATTTCTTAAGAATAGAAATGTAAATTGGCTGATTCCCGCTTCTTCAATGTTACAATGTCCTAGTTCCTCTACTCCTCTAATGACAAACTATCTTTGGGCTGTGGACAGAACAAGACATTTGAAGACATCGTGTTGGGCTTTGGGGAACACATTTGTTTTCACTATTTTCTGACATTTTAAAAGACTGGACAGAATCGACAGAAAATGAAAATAACTGTTAGTTGCAGACGGAGTGGGAAATAATATTATTTTTTAGATAAAACACACTGATTAATAAAAAAATCTATCAGCTAAATAAATGACAAAAATAGCCATCTCTGCAGAACTACTCCAAACAAATTGCTTCTAAATCACAACAATACGTCCACACTTGTTTTCTGAATAATCTGTAATCAGACACAGCTTGGCTGGCAATATCCCCACTATAAAGAAGCAATTATCAAAACAAAATGTATTACCGCTCCCTTATTTTCTGAAATTTCCTACTCCTAATACTAAACATCATCTACTGGGAAGTGACTCACTGCTGCTCATCACTTCCCCTCTTATGACCTCACCAGCCTGCGCACAGACTCCGAGCCAGAAAGCCAACCAGCAACTACAGGGAGGAGATGAAACAGGATGCAGCCGAAGCACGCACAGTCTTCTGTGTAAAGTAACTACTTACTGTACATGCAGCATCCTATCGAACAACATTCACACCTTACAAAGACACATCTGTAATAAGAAAGGTTCGCTGTCACTTACCCAGAGGCAGTAAGGAGTAAGACAGCATGACCACACGTACAGCACAGCTCTCAGCACGGTGCCCATCTCTGCTCTGCCGCACTCACCGGCCTCAGACCCTCACACACGCTTACAACAGTGATGTCACCACACTACTATTATCTCATCTCCGTGAGTATGAGGGTGCTTCCGCCGGTCAGTAAAATTTATGGAAAGTAATCATATCTGAAATCTGCTAACTCCGCCAGATTTTGGCTTTAAATATCATTTTCCCAGCCAGATTAATAAATAATGTTGCACTCAAGTGGATTTTTGTGGGCCTATGCAGTTGAAATCATTTAAACCGGACATGCCACTGTGTTTAAAGCGTATTATTTGTGATGCTGCTTTATTAATATTCTGCTAACAATCTGGTTACATCACATGAATCTTGGCACGTTTATATCCCATTGTACTGATTAAAATGATAACATGTTGAGTTCCTGAGGTATCACTGAATCTGCTGAGACAATTAAAACAACATAAAATTAATCAGAAATCATTCTGATAATTGAATTGTGTATTTTCAGCTTAACATTTTGTTGCTTTTTTGTTTTAAGTGATAACACGCTGAATATCTTTGGGTTATGAGACAAAATGACTAATAAGACGCAGGGATGTCACGTCATATCACTGCTAACATTAACCACAGTATGTAAAATATGTAATGACAGTATCAAATTATTAATACACATATGGCAATATTGTAATTAATCCAGTGCCAGAAACTATCTGGTTGACAACAGAGGAAAAATAAATTATCAAAACAATTACAATATTCAATTTCCCATTAAATTATAATTGTCTTTAGTAGTTTTCAACATGAATGGAAAACATCTCTAATGCAGTGAATTCTGTGCAATGTTTACTGAGCTGTTATAACATCTGTAATATGGCGCACTTCTCTGAACAGTGTGACTGATTAATCTATTTTAATTAGCTCTACTAATGCCACCTCTGCAGTACAGTACTTTCAACAGCTCTTTTTTTTAAAACACAGGCACTGCAATTGGTAACAAGGAGTAGCTAAGACAACAGAGTGGGTGCCACCACAAACTGAAACACAACCACTAGATGGTAGTAGTGACCTTGAACTCATGGTGACTTAATCTGAGCTCCGTATCACAGCAGTGTGCAACTGTACGACACAACACATTGTACTTTTGGGTTCATAGTGCAGGCCCGTCAACGTGAGCCTACAATTACAGTCTCAATGACAAAGAGCAAACTGAACCCAACCCTACACAGGTGATAAATGCTTGAATGCCATGGTACGTGTGTGTATGTGATGTGCAAAGCTGCCGATGCCTGGGAGCAGACACATTTTTGTTTACACTCTTTCAAATAAAATTAAAAAAAAAAAAACAAAACATGTGAACTATGAGGTTTAAAGTTAAGAATAGCAGTTGTAACTGATCAGCATGAAGTTACACAATCACATAAATATTACGTGTCTGCTTGGGTGCAGGACACATGATCATTACGGCTCATTTCACTTCAGAGGTTCCCTGAGCTGTGCTGACAGGTTTCTGACAAATGAGCAGTGAGAACATGTACATATTAACCATTTGTCTAATCCAATCCTGAATTACAGGCCTGAGAAGGTGTTTGGACACCACTTGCCTAGAATATGATGTGGGTTGGGCGGAGGTGAGTGTAGGGAGGGCCATGCCTTCAACATTAGTCATGAGCTCTTCACCAATGAGTACAGCAGCAACTAACTTCAGTCAACTAACTGCATTCCACTGCTGGCTGTCTTCAGTGTACGAGACACACATACAGCTTAAACATGCATAGCATTGCTCACACTCAAGCATGCACAGATTTCCCTCCCTGTCTCCGAGGAGCTCTCAGAGAAACCGTCCAAAAGAAAACAGTGATTTATAATAAAGGGCTCTGAGCCAGTCGTCTAACTGACGCAATGACTTGAGCAGCAGTTTTAAATCTCACTGAGTTACAGCTACAGTTTTGCTGAGACTGAGCTGCAGCCTGACTCACCCAGCTGTGACGGTCCCGCTCTCGGTGGGCGCTGCGGCTTCTCATCCTGGAAAGGCTTACTTCCACAGCACTGCTTGAAGGTGCTGATCGCCGCGACACACTCCGAGACCGCATCCTGTTCAATTCCTGACAATGTAAAGGGATCAAAGTGAGCGTCTCATCTGTACGACCGCTTACATGTAGTATCTCAGTACCATGTTAGATAGAGCATTGTCAATCTGTGAGGGACATTCACATAGAACATGGTAATTTTGACTTTAGGTTTGCTTGATAACAATGGGTCATATGTTAATCAATAAGAAGATTCTTAGTTAACCAAGTTTTCATTGCAGGAAAAAAAAACAAACTCTCCAGGCAGAGGGGACTATCAGTCTCAGACTGGCATTGTCGTTTAATGCAGATTCCTGCATTAGCAGTTGATTATGTCAGGCATTAAATCTTAATTGCAGGATCCTTTCTGGAGGGTAAAGGACAACTCCAAAATATGACAAACTGCAAACTCTGTAGGCAAACATTCCCCAGCCTCTATCATGGCTTATCATCTGAACCATGTAATTACTCTAATGTTAACCACTTAGCACAGCCGCTCACGCTAGTGTTAGAGAGCCTGGATAAATACATGCTTTCTAGCAAAACGTCCAGACAGTGTCCTTGCTGGATAGAATTCTGATTTTGCAGGTGTTGCAGCAGCTCGCTTTGTAAGTGCGCTTGTAAAATATAAACATTTTAATGGGAAATAATTACAGTTTTGTATTTTTCTGTAAAGTAGCACTGTGTTAACAAAGTTACCTATAACATTCCTTTTCAGCCCTGGAACTCAAACTATTTTAGTATTCCTCCCCCCATAACTATCAAAAGACTTAATGAGTATCATAAATGTGCAACAAGTGGTTCACTAGGAGAAGCTCTGATCAGGGGCAGCCCTACATATTTTGTGACTTTATTAGGTGATAATTTGTTGCTTTGTAACAGAGTGTAACTGCAATTGAACACATATTTTTCACTGGTCACATATTCATTGCACACAACACTGGAATAACAGGGAGAGGCACAGGATATGTGCACGGACACTCTTCAACTTGATCAAACAGACACATTCATCCCTGAATGAGCAGAGGAACGGCTAGCTAATCGTGAGTCAGCATAGGTAAATAGACTTTTGCTTTACAATAATCTTACAACATGAGATTTTTTAAAATACTGTAAATATAATATAAAAATCAACTATTCCTTTGGTATCTTGCAGACACAAAAAACCTACAGATAGCATTAACTAACCATGTAAGAGAAGTAGCAATGCTGAATTAATAGAAGCACTTGTCTGTAATTTTAACTGCATGCTGATGACGGTGATAAACCCTAGTACAGTTCCTAGTTAATTAGGAACTGAGAACTGTTTCAGTTACCTGTTAACTCAATACTGAGCTGAAGAGAGACTATAATGTTGCCATTATTTCCTCTAGCAAAACCAATAAAAGCCAGTTCACTCGACTGAAATAATGGCACCTGTGTACATGATTTGGACTGTATACATGGTTTTCACTGGGTTTAATTTTGGGAGCCTAGAAAACTACGAATATAACAGTTAAGAAAATAATCATATGGCCTTTTCAATTTTATATGTTTACCTTAGTCTATACTTACAGATACATATGGGAATAGATTGTTATGTAACAAAATAACCTGCTTTTTTACCCTTTCCATCTTAAATTCTACAAAAAAAATTAAATCCTCAACCTCTTTAAAAAACTACAACTACAACGTGCCCATTTTCCACAAGGGCATAAATGATTAACTAGCGTCCCTGATAGTATTTCCTGGATCTGTCTCACTCACCTGGGATCCCTGTGATCTCCGGTGGCTCTGGGTCTGTCCCCTGTTGTCTGGAGGCTGTGGCTCTCTGGGAAACCAGATCTGCTCTGCAGTAGTGCTGTTCGAGAGTCCACCGGCAGGGTTCCCGGCTTTGGCCTCTGCCCCATGAAAAGGGGTCATATTGAATGGATCATCCACCACAGCGGACCTGTGTCTCTGTGGAGACGGGAGCCGTTCCTCCTGCCTGAGGAGGAGCTGTTCTAGGCTGAGTTTGTTGGCATTTTTTCTGGGTTCAGTCACAGGTGTGTCTACAGACATCTCAACAGGCCGCAGCTCCCATGGGTCCATAGAAGATGTTGTCCATATTGGGCTTGAGAAACCCACTGATGTCTGCGCTGGTACGTTCCAGCTAACATCTCTTTCAGGTGTGGGCTGTAACCTTGTCCCAAGCTCAGCATCTAATCCCTGAACATTCGACAGAGGAAACAAGTCTTTACTAGGAGTGAGCTGAGCTTGAGATGTGAAGGAGTCGATGTCAAGAATGGCGGGTTTGTAAGGCTCCTTCCAGCGTGTCGCAGCATCGCTACGATGAGAAGGAGCCTTAGATATCGGGTCACTTCTGAGCACAGAGTCCAGATCAACAACTTTAGGCCTCAGAGATGATGCCTCCAACCGCAGCCTCTCCTGCTCCTCTTTCTTCTGCTTCTCTTTCAGTCTCTGCCTCTCTGCTTCTTGTTGTTTGGCTATGTGTCTCATCTTCTCAGCCTCTTCCCTTTTCTCTGCCTCCTCCCTTTCCATCTTCTCCTTCAGCCTGCGTCTCTCAAGCTCCTGAATTTGTTGTCTGTCCCTCTGCTTTTCAAATTCCAAGAGCTGCCTTCTCTCCATCTCTTTCATTCTCTCTAAATCCTCCTTCCGCTGTCTCTCCTTCTCCTGTTCTTGTTGTCTCAGCCTCTGGTTTTCTAATTCCTGTCTCTCAATGTCAAGTTTTCTCTGTCTCTCCCTCTCTAAATCTCTCTGCCGCTGTTTCTCTAGCTCCCTCTGCTTTTCCCTCTCAATCTCTTTCTGACGCTCCTTCTCCAACTCCCTTTGTCTTTCTCTCTCTTTATCAAGCTCTTTTATTCTTAACATTTCCTGTTCTAATGCCATTTGTTTTATCTTCTCCACCTGTTCCCTCTCCAGCCTCTCTCTAAGTCTCTGCTTTTCAAGCTCCATGAGCTGCTGCCTCTCCTTTTCTATCTGCTTCTGTTTTTGAAACTCAGCGAGCTGTTGTCTCTCCAGCTCTTTCATTCTCTCCAGCTCCTCCATTCTCTGTTTCTCCTTTTGGAGTTCCAGGAGGCGTCTTTCCTTGTCCAGCTCCCTCTGCCTCTCCTCTTCCCTCTGTCTTTGCCTTTCCTTTTCACGCTGTCTCTCCATTTCCTGCAGTTTATGTTTTTCAATCTCTCTCTGTCTCTCAAGTTCTCTGCGTTTTTCTCTTTCAAATTGTTTTTCGAGTTCTTTTTGTTTCTCCCTCTCCAATTCTTGCAATTTCTGTTTCTCGAGGTCAATCTGTTTCTGTTTCTCGAGCTCAATCTGTTTCTGTTTCTCAAGTTCTATCTGTTTCTGTTTCTCGAGCTCAATCTGTTTCTGTTTCTCGAGCTCAATCTGTTTTTGCCTTTCCAGTGCACGCTGTTTCTTCTCCCTTTCAAGTTCTTTCTGTTTCTCCCTCTCCAATTCTTGCAATCTCTTTTTCTCAAGCTCAGCCTGTTTCTGCCTTTCCAGTGCACGCTGTTTTTCCTCAAATTCTTGCTTCTCCTTTTCAAACGCTTTCTGTCGCTGCCTTTCAAACTCTCTTTGCATCTCCCTTTCCTTCATTCGTGCAAATTCTAAATGTGCTTGTTTCTCTATTTCCAGCTGCTTTTGTTTTTCCCTTTCCAGCTCTTTCAATTTTGCTTTCTGTCTTTCTGTCTCCTTTTTGAGTTCTCTTTTCTTTCCAGCTTCGATCATTTCATCTTTTGCCTGTCTGTCCGATGCTGATCGGATCTCTTTGGGTGACATGTGGCTCCTCATCATCAGCTCCTCAACTTGATCTTGAGGGCTTTTTCCAAAAGCTTCATCTAATGGTGTATTCCTCCTCATTGGAAGAACCTTCCCTTGCGAGCTGCCCAGAGCTGACCTCACAGAAAAATCATCAAAGGGCACAGTCATGTCCACAGTGCTTGTACTTGCATGTCCAGGAGACACTGGCTCCTGTATTTGCCCAGTCAAAGCAAAGTAGGTTGCCCTGGGTTTTGGCTGTTCTTCTGTCTGCAGCATTTTCAAACGTTTAGGGGCTGCAGCCACTTCATCCTGCTCTGCCACTCCCTGCCTGTCTTTGTCTTTATCTAAATCCACTTTTCCTTCCCTTTGTGATTCCTTTAGCATCCCTTTGTCTAAACCTGCTTCCTGGTCAAGATTTGATGCGGTCCACTTCTGCAAACCTCCTACTCTCAGATATCGTGGCTGCCGTTCTGGCGTCACTGTCGAAGCTGGTTGTCCCTGTGCCGGACCAGCCCTCTCTGCCGCTGGCCTGCTCCCCTCTGAGCGTCTGGAGCGGAGTGTCATGGCCTTGTCCTCCCACAGAGCCGATGGGACGCTCTCACTCACTGCCCGATTCTCTTCGACTGCCTGCACTGTGTCAAAGGCATGTAACACCCGCAGAGGACTTGACGGAGATAGAGGCTCTTTGTAGGTGGCGGTGACCAGAGTTCCCTCATCCTCCATATCTGCTCTCTGAAACGACGGGCTGCTGAGTGAATCCTTGGCATTGTTGCCCTCATCCATCACCAGCACACTGTGTTTCTCCACAACATTTTCAAACAAGGATGCTCGCACAGTCTGTACTTCAACACCAGGGCCACCTGCCTTGCAAGTGGTGCCAAATGTCTGTCCTGCCTCAGGCTCTTCAGGTGTGGAGGCCTTTTTAAGCTGCTCTTGGGAATCTTTTAAATCCGAAAATGTCTTGTGGTCATCAGGAGTGATAGCTGAATCTTCAGCCTGAGAAAATAAGGAGACATACTGAGTATTCACAGCAATAACAGCTTTGTTGCAACTAAATCTCTATTGTTTTTTACTAAAATGTTATCACCATTTTTTACACTACGCATTTGTTACAGATTAAATCATCTGACAGAAATAAAAGCTTTAAAAAACAACTATGAACGGAAGCACGTTTTACTAATATAAAACCAGAGAGTAGAGCAAATGTGACTTGACAGCAGAACAGGAAAAATACAACACAACAAAGGAGCTCAAATGATTGACTGAACAACTGTCAGCACACAAACGGAATCCCCTTCTCCTATGTTGGCCTCATAACAGTGGGTGTGGTGCCGAGGTGGTAATCAAAGCCTCTCTGTATTGACCTTTTCTCAGTGATCTCTTCTCTGCATGTTTCATAACTGGCAGCCACTGGGGATGATAAATGCTTCAGGTGTCTTGAGTTTCACAGTTTTGTACATCTATGGTAGCAATTCTTTCTACTCCAATGCCCCATTTTCTCGATGGAAATTTCCTTCTGAATGCAGATAGGCTTTGGTCCACTGAAAATGTGAGCACTCTTTAAGGTGCATTTCAAAATGTTTTAAAGTGTAGCTAGACTAGCAGATACAGACACAAAAAGCAGACTGTTTTTGTTATGTACCTTGAATTTCATTTTGGCAAGGGATGACAAGAAACACACTGAAATGAGACTCCGTTTAGAGAATAGTTGTACTTTTCCAAGCACTAAGCTTTAACACAGCTTCTCATTGTTATGCTCATTTGCCTGCTAAACACAGGCTGAACCCAACAGAAACCAGTTCCTACAAAGCTTAGTCCCTCTCTTACCCTCCTCTGAGGATCTTTGCTGATCTCATGGCGGTCTGCTGCCTCAGTGAGGGAAACAAGGTCTGGTGACCTCTCGGATGAAAACCTGATGAACATACATCACACAAGACAAAAGCCATGCATGACAATGGAACTCCTGGACAAAGACACAAAACAAAAGCAAAACCAAGGAAACTTTAAAAGCAGTTCTTACCTTGTAGTTAGGTCAAGGGGCAGAGGGCGGGGCTTCAGTGCAGGTTTTAGGACAGGGCTCTGAGTTGGCGTTGTATCTTCTGTTAGCTGCTTGATGAGCCGTTTAACACCCACTGGTGATTCTGTATCAGGAACCGGCTGCACTGGAGAGTGAGGATCTGACCCTTGGCCTGCAGCACCTGGCCCAGGAAAGGATGACGAATCGAAGAGAAGACTGATTCGCGACTTGATGCTGACCCCACGCTTATCCTCATCAGTCTCTTTTACAGCTATTTCTTCTGTCTTTTTGTTGCTTTGGTCTGGGAGGGCAGGATCAGCAACACCATCAGTTCTTTGTGGTGAGGTACTCTTGGGGTTTTTATCTTGCTCTCTGTTCTGTGGCAGTGCCTTCTCCTCTGGAGTGTTCTCTTTAGTATCTGTTTTAGGACTTTTACGGTGCAGTGAAAGACCAATAGACTCAAACTTGGATGTGAGATCAGCTGAAAGGGGTCGTCTCGCAGCCCAGCGAGGAGCCGAAACTGGTGTTTCAGATTTAGTTGGACTGCCAGGAAAAATGGCTGAAACGGGTCTGGGCCTGGAGCCTCTGGGCTGGGGTCGCAGTGGCACAGAAACTTCAGGCAGAGCTTTTTCTTTTGCTTCTTCCTCCTGCCCTACCTGAACGAGAAAACCCATGGACTTAGCTCTGGTAATGGAGGTTCCACCTTTACTCTGTGCTGTGTGGCCCTTCTCATCTTCTTTTTTAGTGGTTCCAGACCACTCTGCAGATGGAAGTTTTTTAAGACTCTTGGAATAGGCCAAGCTTGAGGCAGCAGGTTTCTGCCTCTCTGCTGGCACAGAGGCAGTGGGTTTGCTGGGATCTCCAGGGTCGAGTGGAGGCGCTGGTTTAAATGCATGGACTGTTGGCTTGGTTGTTTGTCCAGTGTTGACCTTATTAGATGTTTTAAAGGAGGTAGGGGCAGGACGATTGGGGTTGGTTGATACTGGCCTGGGTTTGCTGGTGGTAACTGATTGCTGTGGTGGTTTTGGACTGCTTGGAAGCTCAGGTTTGTATCCAGCAAGACGAGTGGACTCTGGTCTGGGTTTGGTTTGAGGCTTAGGGGCAAGAATGGGTTTAATAGTGGGGTTTTTCTCCACAGAAAAAGGCTTGGGAGTGAGTCGGGGCTTGGGGCCTGGGACAGGTTTGTTAGGTTCTGGTGTGATGATATGTGACTGATTGATAGATGGGATCTCGATAAGGCTCTTATTGCTGGAGTCAGTCAGAGGACTCAGATGAAGTCGTCCTCCTGCCACTGGCCTCCCTACCTCCCCTGTTTGAACCTCCACCTGAGCAGCCATCCTTTGTTACAGCACCTTTTTTCAAGTATAAAGAAAAAAACACAATCTGAGTATAACAAATTATTTATTTTACTGTTAAAATACTAAACAACAGCACTACTTCACACAAATCAAACTCATAAATAGCCTCAAAACTCACTCACTCTATCTAGCCATTATGGACTTTGTCTTGGGAGTGTCACAATTGTAAGCCTTCGTAGGAAAGATATTTATAAAAGTTTATTGATGACACTGGCACGTTAGAGTGCACGTGTGGATTAATAAACATGATGTGTAATATTAAGTGAATGGCTGTTTTTGTCATCCATATTCACATTAATATGCTTTTCCTTTTATAACTGTAGTAGCTACCAGTTTGTGCAAAATACTGAATTAACAATTCACTTGCCAAAACCCCCTCTAATAGAGTGGGTTATTTTTGGCTTATTTTTGTTTGTGGCGTAAACATTTGGAATAATTTTCAATAAAATCAAGGCATTAAAGGCAGCAAGAGAACACTTTTAATTTTTCATAGCTGAAGAATCACTGGTGGACCAGATAAGTTCAGGTCCATTAAACTTGCATTACAACATGAGCCTGCATCAATTGTAGGCACAGTAATCATTTATGGTATTATTTACACACATTCTTTTTCTGCAATAACATATGAAAATATCGTACACAAAAAAGGCCTATTGTTTAAGCACCAGCTGTGTTGGCAGGGAGCTTAAGATACGAGACATTATTTGATTGCATATTAAAATGTGTTTCCTGTATTTTTACATAGACTATATTTGTTTAGCTACAGAAGTCCTTTCGTAAATATCTTAATGTTGGTTGCACTCAGCTTTGTTACAAATGAAAGTACAACATAAGTACCTTGTCTTTACAAACAGTATTATTTAGCCTAACATGTTGTACATACTTTAGTGCAGTGTAGCCTGGAGTGAATGCAATTACTGCTTTTACTGAAAAAATTTACCTTAACCTGTTAAGACCCGCACTCTTGCTTGATGTGCATTTTTTATTTTTCTTTGCTATTTGATCAGATCAAATAGCAAAGAAAAATAAAAAAAATTTAAAAATATAAAGAAAATATAAAATGTATTTAAAAAATATTCTGTAAAAACCAACAATAATAAAATAATAAGAATAAAAACGAATAATAAAAATAAAATAGCAAAGAAGAATAAAAAATAACAAATATTAATAAAATGAAAAAATATTTTAAAAATATTTTTAAATACCAATATAATAATAATAATAATAATAATAATAATAACAATAATAATAATAATAAATAACTACTGTGGTAATATAGCATAAAATGTGTCTACGCATGTGGATGCCAGGTCTGAAGAGGTTAAACCTTATCAATTTCTTGTTTGTAATATATCAAAGTATTTGGTAAAAAGTGCTTCCCTTGAATGACTAGTGTAGCAGTAATCATGACTGCATACCTTTAAGGTGGATCCTGAGACAAGGAGGGGCAGGACAACTGCACAATGTCATTGTATTCTTTGTCATGCTGTAACACAGGCATGCTAGTCTTTGACAGTGAATGGGGGATTTCACTGCAAACTCACACCGGACTGCCATTAAAGACCTAGCTCCACCCCTAATAAACCTTTTATGACTATTATCCAACAGTTTCTTCAATCTAAAGTAGGCATAGTGATGAATATCTGATAGCTAGAGATCAACGAACTCTGCTCTTTTGACACTCTGTGATGATAATCATGTTTATCTGATGTTTCTGTAGTGATAATGAAGACAGAAAACTACTCAAGCACTTCTGTGTTAGCCCTTTAAGAGGCTCTTTCTTCACATCTGATAATGCTTTCCACATGTTGCTGTCGAGTTATTTCACTGCACAGACCAGCAAGTTCTTTTGGAACTGCTGCTGCAGCAAAAAACAAACCAAAAAACCCAAAAAACAGCATATCCTACCTGACCAGATGTCAACCGTCTGCTGTCGAGCTCAGGCTGTTGTTGTAACCAGACCGTGATGTCATATCACACAGGAGGAAGGCATTGGAGAAGCCTGAGGGTAACACACTTTGCGTCAATAAAGCACACAAGCTATTCATATGTCAAGAAAGACATGCTTCAGGCTACAGCAGAGAAATCACAGCAGAGCAACAGAGGGGCTGTCCCAAAGCTTCTTCGCTGTGCTGTTCTCACGCCTTCGTACAAGTGGCAAGTAGATGGTAGTGTTTACACTGACACAGACTTGAGTAAACACAGTCACACCCATACATTTGAGCTGATGGGATATTGGTCCACACGTAAAAAAAAAAAAAACAAAATACACAAGAAAAGTCATTAACTCTGTTCTGCTATATGTTTATCTTTCCCTGTTCCTATATTTGCATTATGTCCTACATCACTCCTCATGCGCCATCACTCTCACACAGCTTACTACGTCTATGTAAATTCAATCTGTGAACGTTGGAACTATAAATGCTGCAAACGCTGCAGCCGTCATTTATGTATGAGGCATGTGTTATTAACAAGCCTAAACCTGTTCTGTGCATCTCATTTTACGCAACAACTGATAAGTGCTAACTTCCCCACGGTCAATTAAGTTATTTTATTCCATGCATCAACAAAAACAAATACAGAAAATGGAAATCCAAGGAAACAGAACGATGCTGAACAAACACAGACTGGCTTGTGCTTGGCTAAGGGAGACTGAAAAGTTGAAAACTTGAACTTTAGATGTTGACAGGAAACGCCTTCGCCAAGATGGAATGCTAAACATTCGCTGTGATGGTGGGTCAAGCAGCACAGCAGGGATTAGGAAAGTGTCTGCCTTATATAGGCTCAGGCATACGAGGGAATATCCTACACAAGACTCATTACTGAGAGAACAACAGTTAAGAAGTCAGACATGTGCATTACTTCTAGCATGCTGCATAAGAATGTTGATTATTCAATACATTTGGCAGGTATCTTTAGGAGGATCTGGCAACAGACATATCTCTTTCATTTCTAGCAGGAAGCACATAGAGGAGAGTGGGGCATAGGGTAACCCAGTAAATTGTTTGTTATGTTTTGGCCCTGATTCGTTCTCGTGAAAGATATCAAGACATTAACCTTGTTCAGCAGGTTATGCAAAGAAAACTTTCCTCCACAGACAATACACAACTGCATGTCATCTAATCTGCTGACATCTACGAGAAGTAGTTTGGTCACTCTCAAATGAGTTCCCACATTGTGCAAAACAAAGCTTTAAGTTACAATCTACAAACAGTGCAACATCTACAGCTTAAGTTGCCTGCTGTCATTTAAGAGATTAGCCTGTCTGTGATATTCATCAGTATTATTGGACAGATTTAAGACTATCTTGCAATCAGAAAGTAGTCCAAGTGCAATTAAATCTGACTGTAAATCTGTCAATGCACCACAACTAACCACAAAGTTAGATTTAATGAGTACCTGTCAGATGCTTACATACCCCCTATCTCCCTCCCCTCCCCACACTAAAGATCACATTTACAGCATATGTAGATTATGAATTAAGAGATGTTTACACTGATACTGATCGGTAGTGATTCATTTTAACATAAATCACATTACACCAGAGGCTGCTTTTGGTGATTTTCCATCTTCGCTGCCGTCGCTCCGGTGTTTGCAACAAGTGCTACCTCTTCCTCATGCCCTGCCTGCTCACCTACACCACCTCGTATCGTGGACGGTATCCGCTCCAATGAAAGAAGAAAAAAAAAAAGACAGCCTGCACACAACAGGAGGGCATAATTGCACGAAAACTGTACACAAGTACTGAATGCAGAGTTGAAGATGTCTGATAATTCACGCACACTTAAAATGAGAGGAACGATAAACGCATCAACAGCTTGCTGGCTAGCAGCCGTAAGCTAACAACTCAAGAACTCGCAAAATGGAAACACTGACTGGACCTGGATGTTTGATCCGAACTGGAGACAACTTACCGAAAGATAAAGTCAGCGGTCCCTCTCCTCTCGTCGAAACAACTTTAAAACGCGATATTATCCAGCCAAGTTAGCGGGGTGAATACGAGTCGTGACAACTGGTTAATAGAGAGGCTAGCGGAGCGGCTAACTTAGCTGGTTTACTTAGCTAGCCAACTGACTGGCTATCCCGTCTCAGGTTGCAGTGTTGTTGACAGGCTCGACTAGACGGCGAACAAGCCGCCTGACTGGTTAGCAGCCGCGGCTCGGTCAAGTTAGACAATACGACGTAGTGCGTCCCCACATCGCCGTAAAAATAAAGCGTAGCAAACCATAAACTACTGCTGTAATATGAAAAGCTGGAGCTTTAATGTGTGTCTAAATACAGACTTAGACTAAGCAGCCAGTTTCTATGTACAGGACTTTTCTGTATGAGTAGCCACCATCAAGCAGTACCAACTCCTACAGAAGTGTCACCTCCTCGACTTCCGTTAAGACTTGGCCTGAATATGTTTAACTTTACACATCTTCAGCTTGATCCGCAACTAAAAATGGGATAATGTGATTGTGCAATTATCATCCCATCCCAGCTTTATTCCTTATAGAAATAATTTTGTTGTTTTCCAGGTAGAAAAAACAAAAACAACAACAAACAAAAACAAAAACACTTTCATACACATAAAAGGAATTCCTACCAGTTTTTTAAAAGTCTATTTGGCTGGAGTCTTTCTGAGTAAACAGATGTCTACCTGGAGTAGTAATATCATTTTAATAATATTTTATTATTTTCTTTCTTTATTTTATATCCTTTTTCACTGTTTGACAATTTGATTTATTTATTTTTGTTTATATATATGTAATCTTTCTTAAATCTTTCATTCGTAAGTAATATGATTGAAAAAGTAGTTTTCAATCAAACCATTCGCTATTTTTGCATTTGTACAAGATCCTTGACAGTTTATAATTGGGTTTCAGCACATGTCATGGCACTGATACTGCTCTCATACAGTTTAAAAATGACATTCACATATATAGCGGTCCAGGGAGTCCAACAATCCCAATTTTATTAGACCCTAGTGCAGCATTTCACACTGTGGATCATGAACTACTCAAGAAAGACGTTCAGGCTCTCAGATCATCTGGAATATATATGAGTATTGGCAATTATGAATCCGAAATACCCCAAATGATGTGTGGAGTCTGCAGTAAATAAAGATCAGTTTTTGAAGCCCTCCTTTCAGTCTCTACATGCTTTCCAGTTTGCAGATCTTCACAGACTTTAGAGTTGCTTATCACAGCTATGTAGTTGGTCTCTGAAGGACTCTGATTGTACAGACGTGCATTGTCCTTGTATGAAGGAAGGAAACAATTACATGCAACAAAACCCCCTTCAACTAAATAAAGACAATGCTAAATTGATTGTTTCTGGAAATCAAGAAGGAAGGTCGGTATTTAGTGCTTACCTTGAGTATCAGGCACAAAAAAACAACACCCAGGTCACTGATGAGGAACTACATTTCAGTAGCCACATTAAAGCTGTAGCTAAATAGTGAGAAAACATGTGTCCATGCAAGCTTTAGCAAAACTTATGCATGCTTTTATCATTTGTTAAAAGGACTACTGTCATGCATTCATCACTGGCCTATTCAATAAGACCATTAGATCTTTGCAACTCATCCAAAAAGCTGCTGCTAGAATATTGACAAACACCATAAAGAGAGAGCACATTATTTGGATTTTTAGTTTCCTGCACTGGCTTCCAGTTTAAGAAAGACTTGAATTTAAGGCCCAACTCTTTGTTTATAAGTCTCTGAGTGGTCTGGGCCCAAAATATATTAGAGATATGTTTGCTGGAGCCTGGTAGGTCTCTCTGATGTGCAGGGATTGGCCAGTTAGTGTTGCCCGGAGTTTAGACCAGATGAGGTGAAATGGTGCTTTGTCATTATTGTATTGGAATTAGGCTGCTCTTGGAACTTAGATTTTCCTCAACTTTAGCCATTTTTAAAGTACTGCTTTTAATTTATCATTTTTCTTTTGACTTATTTTATTATTCACCGTTTCCCCCCTCATGTTTTTTTCTACTGTTTTAGTCAGTCGGTTTAAACTATTCTATATGTGCACTTTATTCAGTTTGCCTCTACTGTTTTGTTTCCTTTTTTTCTACTGTATTTATTTAACCTTATACATGTTTTATTTTACCTTTAGCTCTAGATCCATTTTATTAATCTGTGCATGGTATGATGCCACATAAATTAGAAAACCCACATAATTCATGTAATCTAGTGGCATTATAGGTCTAATTAATATTAGACAATAGCCGGAAACTAAATATTCAGTCAATGTAGAAAACACTGGTTGTGTTGCTAACATAACTTTACAACACAATGGATGGCACGACAGGTGTCAGACTTGTCATGACTGCCCCCGTGTGGAGAGAAGAAAATACTGCATCAATAAAATAGCACCCACCACCCTAATTCAATCAATCCAGGTGTTTGATTTTAACAGACATGAGTTGCAGAAAACAGTCAGTTCTTTGATTGTGCATAAATTGTTTATTCATTATAACAGACTAGTTATGATGACTAGCCTATAAACTTGTTTAAAATTAAAGGTGAATTGAAGATCCCTCAAACAAAATAAATTTCCAATCCACATCTCTCTTGAGTTTCACAGGCATTCGTTAAATGTCAGCAATTATCAAACTTCACACGTTTTCAACACTGAAATAAAACTGGGGGAGTAATGTTAAAAGTCAGTAGACATTCTACACCAGAAAATGAAAGGAGAAACTGAATGAGAAGAAAGCGTGTATTTACGGTTTGAACCAGGCAGAATACATCAGAGTTCTGTTGAATCCACAGAACTAATCTCTCTATACAATACTGTGTTTTCACTTCCTTGGTTTGAGAATCTATGCGTTTGTTGGTGTTGTAATAATACTAGGGCTCTTATCTCCACAATCTGAAAACCTATCCTCTTGAACTTTTACCTGGGATTAACACTGAAAATGTACTGATTTGTTTCCTTCTGAAGATAATGTGTGGGTGCCGAGTATCCTGGAAAAATTCAAGGTGCAACGTACCTGCAGCTGGCTGACTGCTACTCTAGTATAAAGCACCCTCAGATTATCTTGTCCATATTACTCACAGGTTCTAAATGCAAAGCAGGATGAATTTGAAGAAAGCTGGGCACCGTAAAGCAAGGTCTGTAATGCAAACAGGTATTGGGAATTCTTGAAAAGCCTGAAGCACACGTTATATTAGAGTCAGCAGCTTGATATATTCCTTGCTTTACTTAGCATCTGAGTTCAATGTTACCCATAAGGCTTTCAGTGTGTCAAGAGGATGATGTGAAGTTTTGACCTAGTTGTAAAACAACAAAAAAACAGGTAACTGTAACTGATGGGAGGAAATATGAACAGTGGATCAAGTCAATGGAACAATGTCTAAAGCAGCATGAATGTCTGCTACATACTAAAACCTATTTCCATAGCTTGTAGTTCCAAGAAAGATCTGCATGAAGTAAAAACACAAGCAGTGGGAAGATCTTCAGAAACAATATGTTTAAATGAACTTCAGTGTTGTCTACTTTGTGTGAACCATGGATGTGCTGAACAGAAGTTTCTGCTTTTTCTTTTTCTTCTTTCCTCCTTTTTCATCTGAAAGAAAACAAGGCAAAGATAAGTGCAAGTCTGAGGGCAAATAAACTGACTTCACATTACCCTAAGAAAAAACAAACAATCTAACTTGAATCAACTAGCTGCAGGTGACTAAAAGGTTTCAGACCTGGTTCAACCACAGCTTGTGGTGGACAAACTGGTCCACTGTCCAGCTCCAGAAGCGCCTTCTCAAACGCCTGACTGAAGGAGTTCTGAAAGCTGGGCACAGGGACTCGGTCGGACCCATCGCTCTCTCCATCACTGTCTGGTGCTGGGGGAGCGAGCAGCTTATCTGCACGGGGCAAGACAACGCAGAGTTCAGTAAATCTTTGGTGTGTTGTACTGCCTAACAGCTGTAGAAACTGGTTTTACAGGAAATGCACAATAACACACAAACCTGTGATTTCACCAACTCATCAGCATGTGCAACTTGTATCAACAAGCACATGGCCAATAAAAGTACATAGCAATCTACAAATACAGAAATGCATTTCTTTGTGAACCGAATAGATCATTTAACGCAGCGTTTTCTCAGCTTACAGCCAATTGATGAAAGGTTTGGTTTTATAAGACATAACAGATTTTTCTATAGATAACAAGTATGTTTTTTTTTAACTTTTACACCATGATGAGTTTAGTTTCACAAAGCTAGAAACAAAATACAATACCTAAGTCAAATAGAAGACAGTTCAAATATGGGGAAGCAGAAATAAGGTCCATCTGTCCTAGTGAAAGATGAAGCTAATATAAGCCCCTTTCACACAGCCTATTCAAGACAGGACTGTTGTGCCTTCCCTTTGCTGTTTTGTGTACAAGGCATAAGGATGGGATGGGGAGGGGTTGGCAGCATTACTGTTGCGTCTTTAAGTCAGCAGTGGAGGTAATCACAGAGCGGAATTGACGTCTGTGTGAAAGGGTGAGCTATTATGGCAGGCCACGCCAACAGTGTTGGCACTGTTGTGTTACACGTTGCGTCTTTTGTTGCAGAATGCCAGCACATGCGAGAATAGCGTCATGCTTGATTGTTTAGTTCAGTCTGAATGAACAAAGGTGTGCGACAGCAGAATAATAGAGGAATCTTCTTGGCAGCATGATAGCAAGATATCTGTGTGAAAGGGTTTATTAAAAAAATATTTGACAATCACAGTAAAATACAGAGCTGCATTTTGAATCCAAACTGATTTGGATAGCTTGTGCATAGGAAGTTATGTGTATTTAAACAGTTTCTTTCTTTTTCTTTTTTTTTTTTACAGGGTTTGTGTCAAAGAATTCTCAAACTTCAGACTCCAATCAACACAATAATAACTTGAGGTAAAGCTGATGTTTAGATATTTCAAATTAGTGTCCATTTAAAATTCCACAACTGCAGTGTTCCAGGGTAAATGATAACATCCAATTTTCAAATTACTGTGTTGAACCATCACACGGTGTGATGCCATCAGCACTTTACAAGCCACCACAACATCCACAGTCTTCAACTACCTTTCTTTGGAGTGATCCTGGGCCCAGCATCAACTCTGGCTTTTCCATCTCTTAGCATCTATAAAGGACAGTCAGGTTCACACCATGTCAAGTCATGTGATGCATGTCCCTTATGACAAAGGCAGTCTCAATGAATATATATATATATTTTTGTACCATACACACCTGGGCAAAGGACATGCAGTGGGAATCCTCCTCCACACTACCCACAACAGGTGATGACACATTCAGACTTGGAAATCTCATCCCATCTAAAGAAAAAGAAGGAACCAACATAAATGATTATTTTCGCGATGTTCAGATGCTTAACCATAGACCACAGAGACAGACAACTCGTGGAGGAGCTCATCTTACCAGAGGAAGGGCTGCTGCTGAGGGGTGAAGGAGGGGCGAAAGTGAAATCAGGTTGGATTGGGGGACTGCTGCTATAAGGTGGAGAACCAAATGCTGGGAAATGCTGAAGGTTCTCTAGCCCAATATGCACCTCAGGATCTGAAGGGACACATGAGTGCAAATATGTTGTTATGGGATTTAAACTTTTTCTGGAAGTATAACTGCCAAGTGATGCAAAGTCAACAACTGTACTTACATTTACCCTGCTTCTTATTCTCTTCAATTTCAATTCGTTTCTCTCTGCGTTTTTCGTCCCTTGCTTTCTTCTGCCTCAGACGCTTTCTTTTCTCCAAGTCATCTAATAGTTTTAGGAAAATACATCCGAACAACCGTTACCATCTATGAAAAGTTTTTGCTACAATTTTAAATGCCCACCCTGAAAACTGAACTCAAAGTGTTCTAACCTGCAAAGGTGTCCAGAGTCTCTTTGGACAGGATTGGTGGCTGCAGGGCTAACTCACAGATGCTGAACTCGCATGTGAGTGGCAGATGAGCCAAATAACGATGCCGACGACGGATGTCCTGCAATGAAGCCATACAAGAGAATTCAGCCACAATAATAACCCCTTCAGAGTTCAATTAAAAACGGGAGCAGAGTATGTAATGCAAGCTACTGTAGTTTATAACAGCAATTTTGCAGAAAAAAAACTCAGTTGGCTTAAGTGAAAACAACTCTAATAAACAAGATACTAAACAATAATAAACAATAAACAAACACTTCCTTGTTTGCTGACCTCAGTGACTGTGTGTCCCACTATCTCCACCACTCTGGCAGTGATGGAGTCAGGACTGGCCTCCAAACTGCCATATTCACGCACAAGACAGCGCACATTCACAGGATGCATAAACATCTGCTGGCAGTCGTCAGCTGTGAGAGAGAAACATGGGACAGGCAGAGATAAAAGTAATGAGGAAAAGTTTATTAAAACGCAAACATGGGAAAATAAATACCAACAATACATAGAGCCACAACAAATAGGTGTCCTGCACTTTATATTGGTCTGAATCCATAACATCCTGCACCATTTCTCCTTCACTGTCAAAATTTCCAACTTTTATTTATCATTAGAGTAAAATGCAGTCAAAGTTTTTTGATTCGGGGGCACTGGTATATGTGCTACAACACTGCTACAGAGTTGGAATTCTATTTGAGACTTTTTAACACTCAAAATAAACATATTAAAATCAAGGAAATAGCCTCACAAAGGATTTGTCAGGTAGTGGTTTTGTAACCAGGAAGTTTGCATTTGTGTGACAATTTCCTCAAAACATTCTCTCACAGGGAATAAGCTAAAAGTGTAACAACTGAGAAGTAGTATTTTGTTCTTTGGTTTAAAAAGGGATTTCTGAAAGCCCTTTACTTGCTATGGCAGGATTCTGCTGGGCAGAGCAGGTAAGAGACCATGGAATTACTCACCTTGGTAGAAATAATAGTAAGGTCCATGTACCACACTGGCTGAGGGGCGGGCTGCCTCTGCCTGGTTGGCCAGGCCCTCCTCTTCAAGCTGGGGCTCTGGAGCTGCATCCATCATGGCCTCAGGAGGCTCCTCCAGCACACTCTCAAGAATGGCTTCCGGGAAGCCAGGTAGCTCTGCATCTGCATCTTCAGCAAGGTCCTCCACCTCATCATCAAATGCAGAGGAGTACTGCAGCACAGGCTAGGAAAGACAAAAAACAGAGGTGACGATAGGCATAACATCAAAGTAGAACGTATCATCACAGGGAAGCACTTGAACAAAAAATATTTTGCTCAATCTCAAGAGACACAATATTATCAAAAAACAAAACAACAAAAAAAACAAGAGTAAAAGAGGTGTGCGCTTAGATTCACCTTGGCACTGCTGATGTTAGTCACTACTTCCTCCACAGGAGAAGAAGGTTCTTTCAGAGTCAGAGAACTCATGTCCAGACTGTCTGCTTTAACCTTTTGCTGCTTCAGCAGTATTCCCTCTTGCTCCTAAACCACAAAGACAAAGACACAGAGGTAGACAAATGACTAAACTACAGCTTGTGTGGTTTAATCTGTAGTAAAGTAGGTCTATATTTATATTCCATGTTACAGTTTCTATTTCACCAAATGAAAACGCATTTACATTGAATAGCATAGTAAAAAAGGCATTTGCTAGCCATTATCAGTCTTTTTGCAGCATTTCTTTTCATGCCTGCTCCATTCACTACATACTGTCGGTTGCTTTACTTGTAAGTCAAATGAATCTGACTGTTCGGTGCCACAAATAAGCCTGTAGCTTTACTTGTAGAAGACAAAGGGCGCTCTGGATGAAGCAGCCTTGAGCATCCTCTTCCTGGCTAAGCTGAGCCTGAAGGATTGCCTTCTCCTCTGTCATCAGGCTCAGGACCTGCGCCGGGGAGGTCAGCAGCAGCTTGGAGTATGGACTCAAACAAGCATCTAAGAAAGGAGTGATTGAAAACAGAATTTAATTACATAATGTAAAGTAATATATGTTATTATTTAATAGTCTCTATAGTTTAGTATTGTGTATGTACAGTTTGCATAGAAATTAAAAAGTGGAAAATATTTCGCTTGCATTCCTGAGGTGATAAACCAAATTACTGAACATTGTGTATGTAAAATTGGCTATTATTAGTTGCAGTAAGACATATAGATGGCCCAGTCCCTTACCTCCAAAGCGGACAGGCTCCTCCACCTTCACCCACTGAGAACTGGGCATGGCCACCAGAGCCCCCTTTTCCCTCCTCATCAGGCGCATGGTGATTACGTCACCAACCATATACTGCCTGGTCTCCATAGCAACCACACTGCAATCACAGAAGTGACTGTCAGAGCTCTTACTCCTACTTTTACTTCAGAGTTACCCAACATAGCTTTAGTTAGTTCTTATTTACCTCTTGAGGTCAGCGGTGTGCACGGCCTCATAGCAGATGGGGCACTTAGACCAGCTCTTGTCACTAAGAGACAGGTAGTGCAGCATGCACGGCCAACAAAAGATGTGTCCACATCGGGTGATGCGGGCTGCCAAAGGAGGGTAGAGGCAGATTGGGCAAGATGGCACCTCATGGCTATAGATGCGCTGTACACATACAGAGATGGGTTGTTTTTGTGTGTCATTTTTTTTTTAATACACTTTAGTACAGGTAGCAACAAGTTTGCTAACAACAGAACTAGAGTTATTCAAGTGTGGCAACTTTAAAAATTAAAGACATTTTCCCTTAGTGCATGACTGATATTCACCACTTGCTGCACACAATCCCAGTTAACCAGAGTATCTGGATCAGTGAAGTGAGCCTTGTAGTCCTGGTCATCCATCACCACAAACTGGCAACTGAAACACAAAAACACAGAATAACTCCCACATGTTCAGTCTCCCCATTTCATATTACTTAATGTTTGAAGGGCTGCTTACTTGGCCTGCAGAAAAAGCTCCTTGTTGAAGGGCTTGTGCTTGTGGCCCCATTTGTTTCGGCGGCCCCAGCAGGCATGGCCACCATCTCCGATACCACCATTACTTCCACGGGGTTCAAAAGTGAAGTTTAGCAGGTGGTTCAGGCTTATTTTTTTCGGTCCAGCAAATTGAGCCGGGCTAAACTCGGCCCGGCGTGTCTCTGCTACCTGGAGTGGCAAACATGAATGACAATTTATTGCTGTACCTGAAAAGTTTCACAACAAAGAAAATATTTTATCAAAAAAAAAGATGATTACAACCATTAAGAATACTAACCTCCTCACGTCGTCCTCCACCTGCAACTCCATACTGTCGCACTCCACCTCTCTGAGGGGGTCTCTTGTCAAAATTCTTGCTTTTCTGTGAATTGGTGCGGCGAGGGCCTGGGAAACTGTCTGCTTTAGGAAAGGAGGGCTCACGCTTGCGGCTGTAGCGCTTGGAGCCTCCATTGTTTTTACCTTCTGAAATTTAAATGACATGAATTAGGTGCAAGAATACAGACAAACTACCAATAAATATAACATCTTAAATTTGCTGATGACTGATCTGTAATAAACAGCAGGCTATCTGTGGTACCTTGTCTCTTGTACACATGTAAACAAACCTAATTAAACTTCTTGCCACTAGTACAAGGAGTAAAAACAAGACCTTATGTACATTTTACACCATGTGATGGAACTAATGTAATCGCTACAGAAATAACCACTACTTAATTAACATGGCATAGACCAATTTGTGTGCATTTTATGTACTTTTTCTAGCTTCAATGTGGGGTGATCACCACTTAGTGAAGCCAAGAATGACTTAGATATAAAGGAAACATAATTACACTCTACAGAAGTAATGCAAGTGAATTTTAATTCAAGAACAAATAGACAAAGTATGCAATTAATGCATTAATACAAACACCATTGAAAACATTCATAGAGTGATAATAGTGAATTCTTATATGGTAGGTAAATTACACAACTAACTAAAAAATAAACTTTATTCATACAGAAGCTCACAACTTTAAAGAGATTGTTAAAATGTGTTTGCATGTCTCTGCATCCACATATATGACCAAGGTGCTGCACATACACAATGCACTACAAGTACATTGCTGTGTGCACGTATTAGCTGCAGTTCTTGACTGCTAGTGGGTCAAATGTTTTGAAAACGACGTCAGCCTCAGATAAACAGCCTCTGCAGTACTACTAGGCCCCAACAGGCCACAGGGCAAACAGTGTTCAGCTGCAAGTACACACACTGAGTTTCACAACCTTCTGTGCCACTTATGTGCTTTACTGTGGGGTCGTCACCTGTTTTGGGTTTAGATTCGCCTGGTTGTGGGCCTGTGGAGCTGGAACGGGGCGGAACCTTGGTGCTGGTGCTGCTGTTTGGGTTTTTCTCCATGTTTGTCTCCGTGCAGTGAGCGCTGTTGAGGCCGAGCTCCGAGCAGAGAGCCACCGAGCTCTCTAGCATCAAACAGAAAAACAAAAGAGGAAAGCGGGCTGCAGTGAGTGCGGGTCAGGCGACGAAGGCCCTGATTCATTTCTGTCAAACGCGGAGACCCCATCACGGCGACATCTTGACAATAAAACAAACCAAAGAAAAAATAAGAGACACGATTTCGGCGTCTCAAAATATGGAGGCTGTTGGAAGAGAGGACGAAAGCTCGCCACGCGGGGCCAAGACCCCCCGAATTGAAGCTTCTTACACGCTAAGGAAAACAAAATGCCTTTAACAAGGCGTTAAATGTTTTCCAAAAGCTGGAAAACGTAGCAATTTAAAGATTTTAACCAAAAAAATATATCCGCTACAACGAGCTTGCTCTAATGGCGACGGGTCGCCAGATAGGAACCTGAGAGACCCGGATGTTTCTTGTACTGGCTGCCAATCTGTTTAGCACAGAGGCCCAGCTAGGCATCATGGGAAATGTAGTAATAGCAACTTTGTCAAATCAGGATTAAATTTCACAGGCTAAAATTGGGTTTAGTAAAAAATAGCATCCTGTTGACTATTTGCCTTTTGGGCTTGGAGACATGGTATGAGAGTGTACTGAACCAGTGTATTGTTAAAGGTTATGCTGTACCATTTTGTATCAACTGAGTGTACATGTCTGTTCAAATTAAAAAATAACAACAACCATCTACCACTGCCAAGTAAACATGCACGGTTATGTGAATGTGTGCTGAAATTCATTTGAAGACACCGTGACAAATGCCATACCTTCAAAAATAGTATTTTAATTTGTAAACAAAATACATTGTAGCACAAACATAGTACAAATAATGAATAAATTCATTTCAACATAAAACTTCTGACTCTTCAGAACTGGGACACAGGCTTATGTTGCACTATGTGGTTTTAGTATTATTTCTGGTGATACTAATTCAGTATCATCTTTAGCTGTTCTGAGGATCAAACATGCCACCTTACCGTTCAAGAATACTCATGCTAACTGTCAGACCAGTTTGTCAACCCAAATTTTTTAAATGACAAAGTGAGGCAATCCTCATTTAAGGGTCCTTCTGTTGCAGAGAGGCATACAATCAGTTGTTTTTAGTAACAAATCCACTGAGCAGCTGCAGTAAACAACGTGGAGTTGGGTGTGCATTTCTTCCAAAGCTTGCGCTATGTCTTCTTTTGTAACAAAAATTACCACAACCACGCATCCAAGGAGAACTTGAACAAAGCTACCAACATGTTGTGTAGTCACTCCACTTCATCTTCCTCACTCTCTGATTCCTCCTCAAACGCTTCCTTAGTTTCCCCGGCTAGAGAGCAGTTTAGAATTGCTTTGCGAATATGTTGCTTTTCTTCTGCAAATAAAAACATGAGAGAAACTAGTCAAATGGCCTTCATCAATTGTATATCCAGTGTTTTGAAATATACTGTTGTGGTGTCTAGAAAACTAAAGACTTAATACATTTAAAGAATTTAACTCTGGTTAACATAATAAATTAATGTTGTTGGTAATGTTATAGAATAGCTAACACACACACACACACCTACACACACACCTACACACACACACACACACACACACACACACACACACACAGAAAATAACTGACTAAGATTGCAGACTAGTACAAATACAAGACAGCATTTAATTATACTCCTTACCTTCATCTTTACATTTAGGGAGCATTCGATGAAGCTGCTGGGTGTTGTACTTGATCAGAAACTTCTGACATGTTCTAATTGTTCCTGAAACAAAAATACCTTCACTTAGACAAGTGTTCAGTTAATACTGAAGATTATTCCAGTTTGTGTATGATTCATTATGAACTGTGTTTTTCTTACCTCCCACATGCAAACAGTTCAGGAAACAAGGGATTTTGTGGCTACGAGTTTCAATGCTGGTAATGAAAGGCAATGCAGACCAGAGGAGTCTGTAACACCTTTTGGGAAAACGTAGGAGTACTATTCCAGTATGAGCATTCAGATATTTCACTAAAAAGAAACAAAAAATAGAGAATACAAAGACATCAGTCAACAATCCAGCATTATGTAAACATTGATATTTTTTGGACTGAAGACTGGTATCATCACTAAGAGTTTACCGACTAGGAAAATCTTTAATATTCTAATTTTAATTTTCTCTCAACAGATCTTAGTGGAATCATCTCATGGGCTTTCAGAAAACCCAAACAGCATATTATTTCAGTTTCCTAAATATTACTAATTTGCTACCAGTGGTGGAAAGTATTTACTCAAGTACTTTATCTAAGTACAAGTCTGAGATACTTTACTTCTGCCTTGCCATTTTATGCTACTTTATACTTCCCCTTCACTACATTTTAGAGAGAAATATTGTGCTTTCTACTAGACTACATACATTTGACAATGTTAGTTACTACTTAGTATAATTATGAAGAATAAATCAGTGGTTTTCCATGTTTTTGGCTGCTGACGTCTTACAAAAGCAGTGCATGGTTGGGCTCACATTTCAGATATGCATGAGCTGTTAACAGCACCATCAATAATGAGATTTTTTTTGTAAACTTGTTACGAGGTTTCTATTCAAGAAATTTTTTTAATTATCAAATTTTTCACCAAAAACCAAAGACTAAAGATAAAGTCCAAACACTGAACTAATTTGTGGTTCAGAACTTCATTTTTTCTTATTTCTATCTCATTATTGATAAAGCAACCCACTCAGATATATCTACTGTACAATAATAAAGACAAACAACAAAAACAACTGTACATAAAGAACTTTAAGTAGCTACAACAGTACCATGCTGCATGTTATGATTGCTTTTATATTCAAACTATTGCAGAAATAATAATTTATCAATTACAAGGAACAAATCCTTCTACTTTAATACTTTAGCTACATCTTACGACTTAAATTTGTATACTTTTACTTTTCATGCAGGAGTTTTTACATTGCTGTATAGGTAATTTCACTAATAAGTAAAGCAACTAAATACCACTAGGTAGTGCTACTATTTATGCAAGGTCTACCTCACTAAATTCTACAGGCAAACATTTTGTGGAATTATTCCTCTACAGCCATCAATTTGACAGCTGTTGTTTACTTTGCTGATTATGATTTATGTCCATTTAGAAAATATAAAGACAGATGCAGAGTAGAATAATGTTAAAATTATCTCTGCCTTCGCCAGCAACAACAGACAGCATAGGGTTTTGTTTTGTTTTTTTAAACTTTGCAGCTGTGAGCAAGTACTTCAAGTTTTGACAGTTTGGGAACATTTTCTGATGTGCATCTTCAGCTAAATGCAGGACGTTCACTTATATTGAAGTATGTATTAATGCTGAGGTTTATCCTTTACCTCAGCAAAGCATCCAAACACTTCTTTCACTGTCGCTTACCAGAAAATCGGATGCTGCACAGTGCTGCTCCATAGTCGCCGTGTGTACGGGCCACCGCCGCCCTGACTGTGGCTGCAACAGCTCGATCATCCAGCAGCAGCAGCTGGCTCTTGTCTGACACGTTGACTTCGCACAATAAGTACCTACCGACAGAAGAGGCACCGTCAGAGCCAACTGTGAACACACAAAATGTGAGAAACGGGAACACGGAAAGCACGTTTTTACCTCGACTTCACGCGCACCATCGCTGCCCCTCTGTCCTTCCGGGGAGGACTTCCGTCAACAAAGCTATCTGCTGCCCAGACATGCGTATTAGCGCCGCCTATTGGACATTACCAACGATGCCGGATGTACTTGACATTAAACACGGAACAGCACGAATTTATAGTCGTCGTTTCAACAACACATCCAGGCTGTTTTTGAAGCTGGAAATAAAAGCACTGAACGCTAACATCACTCCACAGTCGGAGGAGGTGGCAGATGAGAGCTTGAAGAGTCTACAAAATGTTCCGATTTAACTCACACCATTGTTGTGTATCAGATGTAACACAATGCTCGCAGCTGAAGCCACAACGGGCAGACCCGGACACTAAACCCTTCATACCCATCCGGTAACTATGACAACCTCCATCGTTCTCAGCCAATCACCGTCTCGTTTTCCCGTCTCCTATACACGTTTCACGCCATCTTGAAATTACACCCCCAGTTTGTCAAGTCGCTCCCAAATAAAAAAAAAGCACAGCAACTCTTTTCATTCTCGCTGCCGTCTCCGGTATGAACAGTTCTCGAAACAAACCGCCACAGACAGTCAGCAAGGGGCAGACGGACGCAGATACCGGCTTGGAGACGAACCACAGGGAAAGAAAGACCGGTGGAGGAATGCTGAAGAAGCTGAAGTCGAGGCGCAGCCAAACGGAGAAGTGGCCTGTGGTCACAGAGGATGAACTCCGGGCTCTAGGAAGAGACATTTCTCCCGACCATGTCCTGGGTCTACGAGCTGTCACGGAAGGTACGATATGTCAACGTTCATTTGGACTTTGTTAATGGCGACAAAAACACACCGCCTTACGGGGACTATGCATCTTATGCTAATTGTGGCTAACGTTAGTGACGGGGTTTAAAACCAGACGACCACTAATTAAGCCCACTAAATTTAATGAGCACACTCAGTATGCTTTATTAGTCAAACAAGCAACGCTCGTTTGTGGTTTAGCTATATTTTTAGCCAGACTATGTCCAGGGACGTATACATGAATTTGGGGCACCCAGAAGAAATATTGTTGAGGGCACCATATGTTCAAAACTGCAAATCTTTAACCCTCCTATTACCTTCAATTTACTGACATCTTTTATCCTTGGCCCCAGCACTTTAAAACCTCCAGAAAATTATCATAGTTAAAATTGTTACCCAAGTTTATTTGTAAATAACCTTTTAAATAAAATTTCCAAAAAATATGTCAGTCACTTATTTAGAAATGTTAAACATTGAATGGGATCAAATTGACCCCACAGATAATAAGCGGGTTTAAACTCATTTTCTTATTAAGCTGTTTTTTCTGATGTGTTAGCAGGTACAAACTGATTTGCAGTTCTGTCTTTTTTCACCTGGTAAATGTAGGTCTAATGACTAAAGTACTATTTTTATTTTGTTTATTTGCTACATTTAAACCATTTGTTACATCGTGGCCATCCTCAGGCTGAATCCTGAACTCCATTACAGCTGTGGGGATACTTTCATTTTACTGTTTGTAAAGTGTAATGTCCAATGTCAAGTGAATGACAAATATCTTGTCTCCCTCTTTGTGGGAGGTTTGTCTGAAGGAAGCTGTAAAGAACATTAATAGAGAAGTGACCAGTGTATGAATAGCAGAATGTCATAACTTTAATGAATTAATAAAGCCACGTATCCCATGTCTGAGAAAGGCCATATAAAGTTGTTTTGACAAATGAGTTCGCAGACACAGACTCAGACTCATTTGACTAAATCATTCACTTTATTTTGTCCTCCACCCAGTTCAGTGGGAAATATCTGGTGTCGCGATAATCACTAATATTGTTAAAGTACAGTGAGTTTACAAGAGACTGTTCTGTAAATGGATACCTGATGCTGGTGGTTGGTAATCAGATGTTGATTCTCTGAAGTTTCGCCACAGCGAGCGACGCTAATACATTTTGTAAACCTTCAAGTAGTTTTTTGGGGATTTTGGCTCGTTTCCATTTACCCCCCGGGATTGTCATCACCCATCTGCCCCACCTCCCACCACTAACTGCCCTACTTGAACCCTCTGAGTTAAACCCCATGGTTCGCCATCGGACACCCAGTCTACCACAGTTCCAGCTAATGCTTAATGCCTTCCATTGTTTTGGGCTTTTTCCCGGACCAGACAACAATGGCATTACTTCCCTTCTCTCTCACTACACTTTGTTGTCAAGCTGGGGGTCTGTGCTATAGGATTACTCACCACTACTGCAAGGTGCAGGGCCCAGAAAACACATGCTGAAATCTTAGTTGCTCACTGGGTACTGTCTGAGTCCTCTAAGTAAGGGTAAGCCTTTGTGCTACAAAGTACCTTGTGATGTTGTGACTTGTTATGAATTTCAGTGTGTAAGCGTGTGTGTAGCTACATTTAATGAAATATCAAAGAAAAACTGGACACTGATTGCAAATAGGTGCTTGTTTGCTGTCAGATAATGAACTTACCTATTATATATTTTTTGTCATTTTCTAACTTGTGCTGTTATTCCACATTCCAGACTATCTTTGCAGACCTGAGGACAATATCTACAACATTGACTTCACACGTTTCAAAATACGAGATCTTGAGACGGGGACAGTGCTGTTTGAGATTGCCAAACCTCCTAACAGTGGTAAGGGTTAAAATAACTTTTGCCACTACATCTAGCTTAATAATCCTGACATGTAGGACTCGAATGATAAAAAAAAAAAAAAAACCTTCATTGAGAGGCATGCATAAAGAACACAGTGAATGCTGTTCAGTAACAACCTTGGGGTATTGTGTAGTCAATAAAGTACAGTGTTGCCTGAAAACCTCAGGGGAATGCTGTGCATAGCTCTGGCTCCCCTGCCATATGCTCAGTCTGAGTTACTGATATCTGAATAAATATTTGTATGAAAAAACAGAAAGTCCCACAAGTGGACCAATACTTGAGGAGCCATTTTTTTTTTATTGCTTCCTTTTCAGGAGCAACACACCACAAAAAAACAAAACAAAAAAATTAAGAACCCTAAGTGTTTCCTTAGCATGTTGAGCTGATTGATGTAACATTGCTCCTTTAGACCATACGCTATCAAAGCAGTCGATTTCATCACAACATTTTTGGGATCTCTGCTGGATGATAGTTTGAATAATTAATTATTTGAACAAGAGAGACATTTAATCAATAAATGAAACAAACTGTGCCTTTCAGGAGAAGCCATGAAAAAGTGGCATAAGAAAGTTTAAAATAGTTTAAAAGGTAAAGGGCCATATGAAAAAGTTTGGTCAGTACTTAGCAACACTCCCAAGGGCAAATATCACAGCTTGTTGTGGCAGTTGAGTGTCTTTCAGTTTTTTTTTCTTTTTTTAAAAATTCACTCAATCTTCCTGCAGAATGCCTCTAGTTCTATGAGATTTTTGGACTGACGTGCGTGTACTGCTGTTTTGAGATCTGTTGATTGATTTTCTATGATGTTTAGGTTGGAAGACTGTGAGGGACATGGCAAAACATTCAGTTTGCACCATCTAAGAGTGTCCATTGTGCATTTTGGGATTAATCTAAGGGTTGTTATTCTGCTGTGAAGCCATCCTCATTCATCCTTAGATTTTTCACAATGTGATGTTAGCTACCAGAATTTGCTGCTGTTTAATCGAACCCATTCCTGCCTCTTCCAGTGAAATGTTCCCTTTTCCACTAGCTGCAACACAAGCCCAAAGCCTGATCGATTTACCCCTGTGCTTAACAGTTAGAGAAGTGTTATTTTTTTTACATAAAATCCTGCACATATTTTTTTTCTTCAGATATATCTTTGCTCATTGCAGCCAGAAAGTAATCAGTCCTCTGAACTAGTTTCCAAAATGCATGCTTGGCTTGTTCAATTGTTCATTTGCAAACGTCTGATGCTGAATTGTGTGTTGAGAATGCAAGGAGGGTTTTCTCTGAATGACTGTTCTATGCAGGTCATATTTGTGTACGTGGCTCCTCACAGCAGAACCGTGCACCAACACTTCTGACTCTAATAAATCTTCCTCAAGTTGTTTTGCAGTCAAACAAAGGTTTTGACTTGCCTCTCTAGCAATCCTACGTGTAGTTCTCTCTGGAAGTTTTCTTAATATTCTGGGTCTCAACTTGACCTCCATCATTCCTGTTAATGACATTTCTTAATTACATTATGAACTGATGAAATGGCTCCCTGAAAACATCTTGCTCTCTTCTCATAGCCTTCTCCTGCTTTGTGGTCATCAGTAATCAATCATTTCAGAGTGCTTGGCAGCTGCACAAATGAGCCCATTGCTGCTTTTTGTTGGAACAAAGTTTGAGAAGTCAGAATATTTACAGAAGCTTTGAAATTTGCATCAGCTGACCCTTCCTTATGATGAACATGAACAAGTCGTGGCCTTAGCCACCTAATTAAGGTGTGAAACCTTGGTAAAAGTGATCATCGATCAAATTTCTTGGGGTGCCCAGAATTTTTCACAGTGCTCCTTTCATCTTTTTCACTCTAAGATTGTACAAAACAAAAATAAAACACTAAACAGTATCATCATCATCTGTTAGTTGAGGCTTTTTTGAGATCAGTTCAGCAGTTTACAGTGACAGGTGGATAAACCTTTGCATGTCACTGTAATTATGTAGCTATAATGAATGCTATGAATTATTGTAATGTCCTGTCATCTGAACATGTTCTGTGCATCAGGGCCTGTGGAGAATGAAGAGGAGAGTGGGGATGCGGACACCAGTGCAGGGCGTTTTGTCAGATACCAGTTTACACCAGCCTTCCTGAAGCTGTGCACTGTTGGTGCAACGTAAGTAAATGGACTGTAACTTTCTGACTGCATAATAATCAGGCTCATCCGTCTCCTTACAGTCACTTTTAAATGAGGTCTTTCTTGTTTCTGTTTCCTCATTGCAGAGTGGAGTTCACAGTGGGTGACCGGCCCATTAACAGCTTCCGTATGATTGAGAGGCATTACTTCCAGGGACGCCTTCTCAAGAATTTTGACTTTGACTTCGGCTTTTGCATTCCTAACAGCCGCAACACATGTGAACACATTTACGAGTTTCCACAGCTTCCAGACGACCTCAGTGAGCGCTTGTCTGTTAAGTCCATGATATTAGGTCAGTGTTTTACATAACAATCCACATATTAATCTTGTTTTTTTTTTTTGTCCTTCTCTTTTTTCCAGTTCGCCAAATGGTGGAGCACCCTTATGAGACCAGATCAGACAGTTTCTACTTTGTGGACAACAAACTCATCATGCACAACAAGGCAGACTATGCCTACAATGGCGGTCTGTGATAAATGAAGGGAATAATGTATGCAATACCTCCCAGGGGATAGATTTCCTGGATTACAGAAGTATTCTCTCCTATTTGGACATTATTATGAAAGCGAAACCATACTTAATTCAAGAACAACGGACCACATCTGCCTTCATATGAAATCACGGATCCCTTCATTAGCACCTCAAAATCTCAGTTTGTCTGACTCAGAGGGATGTTTTTGTTTAATATTTCTTTGTTTGTATCTGACTGAAGCCTTTATGTTCTGTATTTTGGTTTGTCTTACAAGTGTCATGTTACTGCTTGAACACTTTTGCCTTAAGTTTCTTGCCGTCTCTGCTGGAAAGGGACACTTGGAGTCACAGACCTCTCATGGCAAAGCCTACAGACTGTGTCAGTTAGGATTTCATTTACTTAGAGGACCAGTGTTTAGGATTTAGGGATCTATGTGCAGAAATGGAATATAATTATTCCTTATGTTTTCATTAGTGTACAATTACATGTAACAGCAAATTGTTGTGTTTTTGGTAGCTAAGAATGAGCTCTTCATTGCTACATAGGCGGTGAGTCCTCTTCCGGTGCATGTTCATAGTTTTACATTGAAGTGGCAGCCACCATAGGTTCTCCAACATGCTTGAAAAAAAAGGAGGTTGCAATCTGCAGCCTTTCTGCTAGATGTTCCAAAATCCTACACTGGTTCTTTAAAAATATAGATGTTATCGGTTGATGTTTGTTTGAACTACCTTTTACAAGCGACAATTGTGTTTCCTGTATGGAAAAGCGAGCATTAACTAGATGTCTTACAGTATTGTTAGTAATAGGTGACCATGTAGCACGAGTTAATATTGTTTCATTCTTCCTTCAATATCAGTTGTGAATCACTGAGATTGTTGGTGTCAGCTATTTAAACTTGATGTCCATTTTATATGGTACATTGTTAAATTGACCAATATTTAGTTGAGTACATTTGAATACAACTGCATGTGCTATTTTCATGATTTGAGGTGTCACATTGAACTCTGTTTGTTCTTTCGAACTCTGGGATACATCAAAAGGAAAAGATAGCAGTAGAATCTAAGTTACTGAACTTTACACATCTTGCTTTAGATGCCGTCCATGTCTAAAACGGTTTAGTCTGCTCTCCAATGTGTCATCACACGGTAATTTAATCCCTTCAGGTCTGTCTTTCTGGCTTATTTGTCACAACAGCACTGTGAATCTCATTCTTTATAGTAGCTGAGTTTGGCCCAAAGTGTGATGTATCTATTAAACCGATTGCCGAGTCTATGTTCTGCTGCTTTGCGCTCAGGTTCTCAGTTTACCAGTGAAATGCCACAGTAGCACGCAACTTGACAGTACAGAGTGATGTAGCTGGGTAGTTGATCTATTTTTGATGAGGCACTAGGGTTGGTACAGAGGTTGACCTGTCTTTTTCTATTCACAGAAGCCCTGTTTAAATAATTATACTTGTGATTTTGCAGATTTTAGGCCATGTACTAAAAATTGTACACATTTTCTAATACAAGTTTCGGGACTATTAGGTACACCATTTAAAGCAACTTTGCACAACTGCCCTCTATAGCAGAGTTGATTATTTGATTATTAGTCATTTAGTGTGATGCTGTTGGATTGTGTTTCATCTACTGGAAGGTGATCATGAAAGGTTGTCCAAAATTCCTGGAAAGCACCAACAATGAAGAGTTTGAAATTAGTTCCTGCTTGCAACATTAACTCCAGCCCAAGCATTCTGAATATGTCTGCTGTCATCTGCTGGTTCCCTTTCTTTGATTTTCTTATTGTACAGAAATGAATGAAAATCAGCATCTACCCGTAAGGTTGGAAAGAATTCTAAAGCTTTGAGTTGCTTGAAGGCTATTTGGAAATTTGCATTTAAATCAGGCATACACCTGGAGATTTGTAATCTTTCAGTGCACATGATCTGGGCTTCCTCTTACTGTGTGCTCTAACATCAATTCCATGTGCCTTGAATCTAGGTGTTGATTGATTTTTGTTTTTTCTTTTACTTTTAAAGAAACTTGTATTTCATGCACCTGTCAGACAAACACAGCAGTAAGCTGAAGGGATGATATTTTCACTCCTCATATCACGCTCTCTGTTACTGCCTTGCATAAAACAGGATGTTTTATAGCCTGTGTTGAGCACGCATTGAAACGTAATGTAGCTTATTTGTAATTTAACAGGTGGGATATCAAGCACATTTCGACAGGTGTAGTCTTTGCTCCATGACACAACCTCAGTTTTTTGTGAGTTGGACTCAATGGATGTATCTTCGTTCGGCTGCTGATAAGCAGCACTGCTGTTGTGGTAGCTGGGAAGACTGTACTTTGTTTAGCCATACAATATCAGTCCGTGGTATTTTCTCTAAATGCCTTTATAGGTTTGTACACTTTGTAGATCTGTGCAAAAAGACTACGTGACTGACACAAACATTTTATGGATCCATTCTATAACCTGTTGCATGGATTCCACTTTTGTATCGGCTGATTTTACAAATGACACATGTCTTGTCAGATTTGTTGTAAATAAAAATGACTGTCTGCAAAATACACACTGAATATCTAGTAGTCATTATAAGTGATAATTCAGTTGTTGTTGTTTGTTGTCCCAAATTGTATGTTAACGGAATAATAAACGTAGCAGGGGATCTGACAATGTGGCAGTAAGACAATAAGAAACTAAGAAATCTATTTAAATATACATTTATTGAACTGTTATTTTCTGCTGATTTAGTCTAAACTTATTCTAAATCTGTTATATGTGCACCATCCAAAAACTAGGGTTCTAACAGGTATCGGCCTGGCCAAATATTGGTGTTAATTTTTTATTATTATTTTTTAACCAACACCATCCATCCATCCATTATCTATACACCGCTTCATCCTCACTAGGGTTGTGGGGGGGCTGGAGCCTATCCCACTGACTCAGGGTGAAGGCAGGGTTAACAAAGGTGTTTATAAAAGAATGTTATGTTGGAGTTTGTGTTACTGTAAATGACACCAAGATTTAAATGTATGTTGCCTTCAAGTATCAGTTATCTGTTCCCTGGATTACAAATAATCAGTATTGATATCGACTTAAATTATATTTAACCCAACAATTTTGGACTGCTTTTGCAAAAACTGCACATTTTCCTTTTTTGATTTTTTATTATGATATGACATGAATTTATGACATCAAGTTTGTTTTAATTTCTGTGTAATTCAGATATCCACTGCTCTAGCTGGGGAGGTAAAATGTGTGAGCTCTGGAGGATAAATGAAATTTTAATCGTCATTTGGTCCGTTATTTCGGTCAAACAGTTTGTTAGCCAAAGCTGTATAACATTCGTGATGAATAGAAGCACGTACCTGAGAATTAAGCCAGTTAATTGTGTCCGAAGTGCTCCGCAACTACAAAACTACATTACCCAGAACCCTCAGCTCAAAACACACAACACCAGCAGCACGTGCTTCCATCATGGCGGCCCCCGCTAAAAAGATGGTCGGTGCTTCGGACTCCAGCAGCAGCGACGACGAAGAACTTAGAAGATGTCAGGAGGCAGTTTGGGAGACAAAAACTAACAGGAACAAAGGTGAAAGTTTTTCTGTCATGTTGGAATAACAGACGAATTCAACAGTGATGACAACGTGTTTTAATGCCACCAGAAATAAGCTGCATTAGCCCAGTGAAGTCCGCTGCTAGTGTTTGTAGTTCATGTACACAAGTGAAAGTTGATTAAACAGTTGAATGAATGTAAGAAATATACGTTCATACGGCTGGACTTAGAGTTTCGTGGCTTTAACTTTAACCTACAGCTGCAACTGAGCTTGTTAGTCCCTCAAAACACTATTTGTAAATGAAACGTGTCTGTTACTGACTTAAGCTACGTGTTTGTCTTTTTAAGATGCAGACAGTGATGTCAAGGAGTCAAAGCGGTGAGTGATGCTATGAAAACATCCACTGACTGTACAGCCATGCAGAAAGGAAAGAAGAGTTTTATGTTGAATATACATCTTGTTTTCCATGAATTGGAGACACTACATCTAAGTAGAGTAACACTTTGTAGTGATTAGATATGAGCATAAAACCTGCACAGTTGATTACTTGCATTAATGCATTTTTTTTCTTGTTTTTATGACAATTTTTCCCAAAAAATTTTATGTTTAAATATCCAAATGTAAGCTATTTAAAAAAGCATTAATTTGAATTGATTCTGCGAATAGAAATCTGAGCTTCTGTTTAAGGTCAGGTTGAAAATCTTTGTTCCATTTTGTAGACATTTTAGAGGTAAAATCTTTATTTTTTTTTTATCACTTCGTAAGTTGGAAAATACTGTCAACAGCCAGAAAAAACTAATTTAAATGAAACATGAACAAACCCCCTCCTTTAGAAAATAGATATAATTAAAAGTGCAAAAAGTATTTCTGTTTTTAAATATACTAAATGTGTTTTCCATACTAAGAGGGCATGCTTTGGAAGCAAAATATTCCATAATGTCAAAATTGACCAGTGCATGACATATTTTATGGTTTTCCCTGTAGTGTTGCCTTAAAATATACAACCTGCATTGGATTAACTTTTAAGCTAAATTTGCATTAAGTTAGAGAACTATAACAATCAACTTTTATTTGTGAATACTGAGAAATTTAATGAGATTATTGTGTTGTCTTGTGCAACAGTGTCGTTGTCGCCGACCATGAACATGATGGCAACGAGCTCCAGGTCACCCAAGGATTTCGAACACACGTTGCTAAAAAATTAGGGCATTTCCTTGACAGGTAACTTGTTTTATTTATTGCTGGAATATGCAATTTTCTAATTATTATTACTTGAAGAAACCAGGTTTCTCATTATTTTGGACTCTCAGTTGCATTGTGGAGCTGCGGCCTGAAGCTTCATCTTGTGTGGAATCAGCAAAATGTAGTGATGATGATGATGAAGGTAAAGTTTCTTTGTCCTTTATTATTTTATCAGAAGTTTGCATCATCTTTTTCAATATAAAGCTTTTCTTCTTTCAGGATTTCGTCTGTTTTCAACATCAGTTCCAGGACAAAAAGCTGAAGATGCTCCAGCTCCTGCGAGGCGTCGGCCTGTTCAGAGCTCAAGGTTCTTCATCCTTTTCTCTGTCTTTTTTTTTTTCAAAGGATATTTGTTAGTTTTTGTACTCCTGTATGTGACATTGTCCATCTCTTTTCTCCTCATAGTGACAGCGACAGTGAGATGGAAAAAAGACTGAAGGAGGCAGCGGTGTCCGTCAAAGATCTCCTACCCTCATCGATGCTGCCCTCTACGCTCTCACCTCAGTCGACAGAGCTTCCCTGCTCAGAAAAAATCAAGAAGAAGAAGAAAAAGAAGAAAGTGGCAGAGGAAGAGGAGAGCCATGCTATTGTGAAAAAGAAAAAGAGGGAGCAGAATCAAGAGGGGAGTGAACAGGTGGACTCTGCTGCTAATGCTCAAAGCAACGGTGAGCACAAGAACTCAGAGCCGGAACACACACAAGCCAAAGTAAAACGGAAAAAGAAAAAGAGGCGTGAAGGAAACACAGAGGAAGCTTTGAACTGACTGTTTTTTATGACAAACTGTCCACTGTTTTAGATTGTTCCATTCTGCTGTTGTGTGTTCAGATGTTGTTAAGATGTGGTATTTAAGGGGGCCACTTTCGCTCTTTCAAACATTTGCATGCCATGACTCATGGTTATACTTGAGATAGTCTTTACTTTGTCATGAAAGATACTCAGTGTGAAAAAAACATTTAAAGCAGTTAGTTAAAAAAAATATTGCAGGCAACATGCGAGTGACAAGTTTCACCTGAATTTACTTTTCTTTTTTTTTTTAATATTACAAAACATCATTTTAATAAAAAATACATTTTGGTGTTGATTTTCAGTTGATTCTCTGCTGTATCAAAAGTGAGTCAGACAGTCTTTGAGGCATCAAAGCTGACTCATCCTTTGGGCCCCGATTCCAGTTTTGTTTTGTTTTTTAATGAAATTTACACCAGAGGTAGCTGTCCATCCCAAACACTCCTTAGTGCAGCTGACAAAGTACTTTTACTGCGCCGTTGAGACCATTTGTGCAGGAATGTAAGAGCTGATGTCTGGAGGTGAAGGTGAGAGCAGGTGGGACGGATGACTTTCTGTAGACTGAGAGGCAGGATACAGCTCCAGGCTCTCAGAAGAAGCTGTAGATGAAAAAAAAAAAAAAAGGAAACTAGTTAATTTGGATTTAGAAAAGCTTTTGGCAAAATTAATTTTTCCCAAGAATGTTTGTTCATGTGTTGATCAGGCTGCACAGTGTGAGTGTTTATTTTCTTTGGATTTTTGCCCATGTAAGTGAGGAAGGCAGCGAGGATGTTAACGAAACTAGCCAAAAGGTCACAGACAGTTGAGGTCAAAACATTATCTATATGCAAAAAAAAACAGTGTATGAAAGACAACTGAGAAGTGAGTGACACAGAAAGATGAAATGAAGATATAAGAGGATCCACACTAGATTCAACAAGACTTCTTTAATGTATGAGTAGATGTAGTGGCTATCTCAGGGAATGAAGGGAAACCGTATCGCCATCAGAAGGAGCAAAAAATAAAGTTATGTCTAATCTACAACTCAACATTAAACCAGGTCAGTGGTGGAAAGTAGAAAGTACATTTACACAAGTACTGGACAATCAATGTGACTTGAGCTTGACTTGGGTATATAAATGTTGTGTTACTTGTCCTACTGTAGGGAAATATTGCACTTTTTACTGCATTTGTAAGTGATTAAAGCCACCTGAGAATATATTAACTCAGCTTCAATATTTAAATACCATGTGTAGGACTACAACTACTGATTATTCTCACTGTTAAATAATCTGCCAATTGAGGCATCCGGCAAAATATATGGTCTTTTATTTAACTACTGCATGTTTGTAGTTGCTTAGTTTTTAGCTTATCTTGTGCTCCACGCAGCAGCCAAGCAGGTGGCTGTAAAGCCTGCGTGCTGCTGATAAATACTCCTGTGAGGTACACTAACACTGTTATTTTTCATTCATTCATATTTTTTTTTTTTTTTTTTAACAAGTTAGACGTTGATTAATTATAATCCTTTAGTTAATCAGTTTTTTAGTTTAACATGTATCCAAAGTGCAGCTCAACTTAAGCAAGCAGAGACAACAGATGTTCATTTAAGTTTAGTGTCTCATTTGTTATTAATACATTTTATTTCACCAGATGCAAAAAAAACAACATATCAACATAATTTATATGCCATTGGCTGCTGATGCTCTCTCAATATCATCACTGACCTTACCAACCAATAATGATGAGATTGATACCTCTCTATACATGCCACTGAGCTTAGCTTGGCATAAAGACTTGAAATGGGGAAATACCTCACCAGACGCAGTCCAAACATAACAAACTGCCTACCAGCACCTCTGGGCTTAAATAATGAATACATTATATCTGTATGTAAACCCAAGTATTACAAGTAACGGTTTGTGGTTTAGCTGGCGGTGATGTGCCAGACTATTTCTTGGCTGGCAGCACCGACTTCCTGGATACTTGTCATCGCTGTGATGTTGCCAGGCAACCAGCTAAACTAATTTAATCAGCTGTTGGCATTGGCTCCATATTGAACAAACAGATATGAGGGTGGCATCAATCATTCCATCTAACTCTTGGCATGAAAAACAAACAAGCATACTTCCTAAACTATGTGAGCTAATGTGATAAAATGCAAGAACTGAAATGAGCTCCAGCAAAACATTATTGCAGAAAATTGCAATTTCTCAAATTCACCCAGTCAGATGAATCCCAGATCATTTCACCCCTTAAGTGCTGCCTACAGAATATTTCCTGGCTCAGAATGGGCCTTTGAGGACCGTACTGAAACGGCAAAGAGTCTGTTCCCTTATATGACCAAAATCTATGAAATTATGCAAATGTCGAGTAAATAAATGAATAATGTAAACAGTAAATAAAGAGTAAAGAAAACCTTTTTCAACATAAGTGGTTTAAAAAATATTTTCAGTTCCTCTCTTTTGGCACGTACTAAAACAGAAATTCCTCTGTGTAGGAAAACAGGAACATTATTGCTTTGCTAGATAAATGCATCATGCAGATGTGATTTTAAAATGGTCAAAACTAAATTGTGTAGAGGGTCCCTTTGAAATTTGTGTAATTTTACATGACGTCATTTCTAACATGTTGCAGTGGGAGGCAGTAAAGTGTTGTTTCCAGCTGTGTACCTGGAACAGGTGTGTGGGGCTGCAGGTGGAGAGAATCCTCCTGTAAAGGTGGGTCTGTCTGTTCCTCAGGATCTGCTGTCAGAATCTAATCAAAACCAAAAAAAAACAGGGCAGGTTGTTAAAATCGGACAATTTGAACCCTAGTAGACCCACTCACCCCTCAGACCACGTACCTGTCTGACAGCAGCGAGGCTGGTCAGAGTCCCCAGGCTGCTGCTGTCAGTGATGACCATGGCCTGAGACAGCAGACCGGACGAGTGGTACTGGGGTGAATCCGACTTGTACACTGTAATGAGGAACAGATGAATGAATATTTATTCAACATAACATGCTGAACTCATGGTGCTACTGTGGCCTTACTGTGACACGGCAGTTGTGCCATGGTCGCCATGAAGGGGCTGGCCGCCATGTGACTCTGAAGCTGCTGTGATATTGGCTGCTGGGGGGAGGCGTGAAGCTGCTGCTGGAATGAGATTGGCTGGAGAGTTGTGAAACCGCCGCCCATGTTGTTTATGACAGGCACGGTCTGAGGCTGTGTGGAGGCTAAACCTGTGAGACAAGAGGTGCAAATCTGAATTTTTCTTTTGACTCCTGCAAAGACAAGAAAGCAAAGAAGAAAATTACCAATGAGAAGAGAGGACTCCCCCAGACTCATGACGCCTGGCACCGAGGCCATGATGAGGCTCTGTGAGGATGCAGAGGAGGCTGACAGACTGTGCAGAGAGGTCAGAGTGCTTACTGGGGGTAGTGGGCCGCCGCTGGACACCTGAGACCAGAGGACAACATTGTTATGATGGCAGCAGTGCTTCCTAGAAGTTTTACAGTACAGAACAGTAAGGAACTGTGATACGTGCTCTCACTGGTTTGGGGTTATGGCTCTCCAGGAGTGTGTGACTGGGCTCCAGCTGGACGGGACTGACAACGAGTCGGCCCACTCTCTCACCTCCGCCACCTCTGGCTGAGCTCACAGTGTCACATGAGATCTGCTGGCTGTATTTCACAACTGTAAAAAAACAAAACAAAACACGAGTTGGGCCCCAGAACATTGATGAAGTTTACACATAAACAACTTTAGTAGACGGATCCAAATGGCAGCATGAAGTAACTAAGAAATATGAGCATCCGAACCAGACACTTCTACAAGAGTATGATGGTCGTTGTTTCACACCAAAACATCAAAGACAAGCGAGTCTAAAGGTCTGCCTTAAGCAAGATCAACTTTGTCCTGACAGATCCCCCAGCTCTGATTTCACTCTTAAATTTCAATCTTTCCCTTCCATTCTTGCCTGAACGTAATCAGGGTATTACCGTGCTCAGGACTGGATGGCAGGGCGGGATTAGAGGCGGAGGCAGGTTGGTTGGTGAAAGGTGTGTCAAGGGCCAGTTTGTGACGGAAGGCCTCCTCTTTACGACGGTTGGCGAACCAGTTATACACTCGGACTTCAGTGACCAGGTTGGAACCCAGACCAGCGAGCTGGGAGGGAGACACCCCCCTCTGGAGACACTCAGCCCTGGACAAGAAGAAGAGACAAACACTGTCTTCATTTGGCCAGTCGATGTTTAAAATTGCTCCACCCTTCTTTAGGAAAAAATTACTAAAATACTGCATATACACCAGACGGACTCACCAGAGACACAAATTAGTGCAGACTGAACAAAGCTGATGCTACATTGTTGTGACTCAGTTTGCCTGCTATGGACCAGTGGTGATAAGGCATCAGTCAAACATGTAGAGAAAAAAACTTCTTGGAGTCTTCCAAAAAGTTTTTCAAGGAAAAACAAGTCTTTAAACTGTCTTCAGAGTCTGATATTAATAATGTTTATTCAATACAGAGGCTGTAAGAACAAACGTGAGCAAAATCTTGAGGACATTTCCTCATATATTTATGCAAACTTCTCCAAACTCTTCTCCTGCCCCTGAGAAGCCCAACCCCCTTTCTTTGAAACCAGTCGGAACATCTTAGTCAGCATTAATTTATGCCTAGGGTTGTGTGATCCAAAAAAATCCCACCCGGGGTGCTCTCCTTTCCCCTCTCAGCGACTGGGATTTTTCTCCATCCCGGGCATCATCTCTTTTAGTCTTTGCAAGGCCATGGTGACCTTAATTTCAACTCATGCACGAATGCAGAGAGAGAGAGTTTGTGCTTCAGGCTCGCTGTATTCTGTAGGTTTTTCGTTGCGTTGGGGTTTACACAGGATTGTTCAGTGTGTTCATGAATTCAGTTTACACATATTTTTCAGTCTTAATGTTTGTTTATGCTTGAATCTGATTTAAACATCTTGATCATATTTCCAGTTGGTCATTTGTTCAATTTCAAAAACGCACAACAATATGGTTGAATAATGCACTAATAAAGGCACTAACTGGAACCAGAAATGTCATAGAAGAACGATATTTAGCTCCACAAAGAAGCTTTTAACAAGAGGTTCTTTAAAGAACCCCCAAATGTGCCTTTAAAAAGATGGCACCATACATAGCACTCCAAAGAATTTCAGCAAGATATGTTCTGTATGGAACCATTTTCAAGATAGTTCTCTGTGGACCCACCTTCATCTACTTTGACAGCAAGACCTGATAATAATTTAAGTAATTTTAAACCTAAAAGCCAAATGTAAGAATTTGCAGCATTTCTGGATATTCCATCAGGATGCATTCGATATTTTGGGTTCTGGCCTGTTGGTCAGACAGAACAACATATTACAAGATGCTGTTCTGTGATTTAGGGAATTGTGATGAGAATTTCTCACTATTTTCTGATGTTTTATAGACCAAATAATTACTTAAGAAAATAATCTGCAGAATAACCAATAATGAAAATAATCATGAGTTGCAGCTTTTATGCTATGACCTGCCACCAAACCAAATAACTCCAATAAATATAAAAAAAACAAAAACCTTCAGTATTTTAAAGGACCGCACAAAGTACGTGGAGAACCATCCCCAAAACAAAGAGATTCTTCAGTTGGTGATGGCACTTTAAAGAACCAGAAAGCCTTCAGAAGAACTATTTAAGATGATTGTTTTTCTAAGTAGCTTATAGAAGAGGTACTCAGATCCTTAACTTCAGTAATAGTACTAATACTACTCTGTGAGAATTCTCCACAACACAACAATGACAGTGTGTTCAAAGCCTTACTTTAGTAAAAGTATGTTAAGTTTTATCAAGGAGAGTATGAAAAATTACAGTTTGAAAACGGACTAGTAATTAAAGCTGTCAGACAAATGTGGTGCAGTAAAAACAGTACAGTATTTGCCTCAAGCATAGTACAAGTACCACAAATTTGTACCTAAATTATTACATTCCACCGCTGCAGCTGTGCTAGAGACTCTGTGAGACTGTAGTTAAGCAGCTGAATGCCATCCCTTTTGTACTAACCGTCTGTGGCAGGTCATAATTACCAGGTTCACCTTCTCAGTTAAGCCTGGTAGCATTTGTTCCTCAGTATTAAACGTAAGTACAGCTCAGCGTGATGGGAATGTCATTGGTTTTGACAGGTAAGTCAAATTGAGTGAAAAGTTAGAAGATCATCAAAGTTTGGCTGCTGCAGATGACTACAAATGTTCACATGTTGAGTGGGAACTCATGACACCTGTACAAAATTTGCGTCTCCACATTAGCATACAGTATACATAGGATCAGACACAATGAATTTAGAGGATTTTAATACAAACTAATACACATCTAACATCAGTGGACATGCACATGGTTTAAGCCTGGTTGAGCCAAACTGACTAAACTGATAAGTATAAGGTATTTATAAAATGTTGTCTCACCTGTTACACTCCTCCACCAACCCCTCTCTCTCCTCCTTGCTGGGGTTCTTTTGTCGTTCGTAGGCATGGAAGAGGATCTGCAGGGAGGCTGGACCCCACTTGAACCGGTTCCTCCGTCCTTTCTTGGTCTCCTCTCCCTGCTCCTCCACTGATGCAAGGCCATGTTTGGCGTTGGTAAATTCTGGAGGAAAATGATGGTATTTTTTTTTACATTTCTGTATAAGAAGCATGTTTCAGCCTCCCAGAGAACTGACACTGGATCAGTGTTTGAAATCAGAATTCAGAGCTCCATGATACTCACGCTGGCTGATCTCACACTGCTTCTTGACGTACCAGGTGTACAGAGCAGCTCTCTTCTGGTTCTTCATGGGTGTGCCTTTGTTGAGGTGCTGTGAGAGGTGGGACTGGTTGAGCCCTGTGGACTCCACTACCTCCCTCTGAGGTAGGTTATGCTGCTGCATGTAGCTTTTCACCATTTTTGCAACATGCCAGGGGTCCTCCCTGTTAGACACACACACACCAGAGCTGACAAATACATATTTTTGTACACTTGCATACTACTTCTTTTTTTTTTTTTTTTTAAATCAATTTTGGGTTTGAAATATTTCCATCCCCTTTGCCTATTCCCAGTATTTCTGAGCATTTCTAACAGTTGCCAGGTTTTAGAGAAGTGCTGCACAGACACAGCTTGTCACAACATGAGACATAAAGTATGGCCTCTCAAAGGGAAGTAGAGAGAGGCTTATTGACAGAGAGAGATAAGAGAAAGCACACAGGGCCAAAGTCCAGCGCTTTCAGATCACTGGAGGGGAAAAACGTGTGAAAGGTTTATGAAGCCTGATTTAACGCTTTCTAACTATCGAGTCAAAAGCAGTCGAAAAAAATAGATGGGATTTCAAAAATGCCTTTAATTTATTAGATTCTAATTTACCCCACAAATATTTAAATGTATTATATTAGATGTATTAGAAAAAACAAACAACTATATTTTCAACAGGCTGTCAAAAGTAATTTTATTACATTAAAATTCTACACATCAATATGACTGGTCTAAGAAATGAACATATTCCAAATATTAACATATCAGGTCTTAAAACTGACTGTAGAAATATCACCTATGCGTTATGCAAACATGGCCTCATCGGAACAGCCCGACTCTATTAATCTTCACCTATGCATGTAGCTTATTTATTAAGAAATGTCCAGGGAATAATGATGGGGGTGGGTAATTAGTAACTAGCAAAGGAGGAACCCTCTTTAAATTCGCCTCAGAAGCCAGATTGCAGTGAGAGAGACAGAGAAGCATGTGAAGGAGGGAGGATTTGGTAAAGAGAGGCATACTCAAGAGTCAGAAGAGAAAAGGAATAGTGATATAAACAGGTTAACGGTTGTTTTCACTCTCAGGGCCTTGGTTTGGATATAAAAGAAGGAAGAGAAAGAAAAGGGAATCAAAAACAGTGTTGAGCGTCAAATTTTTTACATTTTACCTGATCAGGTCCTGTCAGACAGACGTACTGAGAATAACATTTAGCCAGACAATGAGATGACTTTGCCGTTGGAGCTTCCAGAGCAGCGCTGGGATCTACTTACTGCAGTAACTGGTCGACTTCAGCCCTCAGTTTGGACGCCTCTTCTGGAGGAAGCTTATCCAGGTCCCGGAATATAGGCGGTGGGAAATCCATTTCTCCCTCCTCTGAGCTCTCTCCATCCCCCCTCTCTGCCTTCTCAGCAGCGCCGGCACTCGCCCTGTTTCGCTCCAGCTCTCCCATGGCTTGGATCAGGACGTCCCGGGACAGTCCGGACTCCAGCAGGGCCCAGATCAGCTGCTCCTGGAGGGCAGTCAGACGGCTCGGCCTCTCTTTGCCTGCCCCGGCCCTCTCCTCTCCCTCCATTAGTCTTCTGCTTTACCTCGCTGCTGCCTCGCAAACAAACACTGCTCTCATGTGCGTTGCCACAGTCAAATAAGAGCCGCACAGCCAGCGCCAGGCCTCATTCTTGTATCTGTAGTCCCGCTTCAGCTTAACAGAAAGTATGCTTTCATTTTCCTCCTTTGAATTTTCTCCCGTTGTGTCCTGAGCTGCCTGATTTTAGCTCTCCACCTGCTGTTTTGCATTCAAAGGTCAATTTTCTTTTTTTTAACCTTCCTCCTATTCACCCCCTCCTCCTTACATGAGCCCTGTGAACTTTGTCCCCACTCCCTCAGTCCCCAACACTGACCAAAGTGCATTTTAACAACAATAAATAAAAGTGAGGGGTTTTTACATTTGTACGTACTGCAGATTACCACTCTGAAAACAGAAAACTGAGGGCAAAAAGTTGTGAAGTCAGGATTATGTGTGCAGGTATTTCTCAGTTTATAGTGAAACTGACTTTTGAGACACAGAGAATCTTTAATGACTCTTATCTTTAAATCAGAGGTGTTCCAGATTGCTGTGTTTAAGCACATGGTCCCTCAAAAAGTCATTTTAGGACAGAATTGAACATAATGCACAGAACTACAGGAGATCAAGTGATCAGAAACATGGCTTGATTTCTCCTTTGTGCCAATAGAGAGCGCTGTTGCCTCAACTAAACATCACTGCGTCTGAGTTTCAGGATGAATCACTCTACTAAAAGTTATTACCGTTTTTCTCAGTCGCTTTGGTACATTTCTCGAATCATCCTCGACATTTGCAAAACAGCAAGTGCATTTCTCAAAGCAATTTGTACGAATAGCAAAACACCATGGATTACCCGCAAAAGGCAGCTACTTTCTCAAACTCCTTAGTTCATCTCTCAAAACTAAAAATCTGTGTCAATGAACATGTCAGTGCCATCAGAATGATAAGTCCTTGTGTCAATGTGTGCAGATAAGACAGTCAAACTGTTTAGTCATGTTGTCAATACAACAGTTTCGTCTGGAGGGACGTTCTGATGTAAACTATGGCTAAAGTTTTGATGACATTTATTGTAAATTGTGAGTTACACCTCAATGTATGTGGGAGATTGATTGCAAGAGACTGGACAAGATTCACTTTTAGGCTTTTACTGTTTGTACTGTAGTTTGTTGACAGACCATGTCAATGCGATACAGAAAGGAAAAGACAGCACTGCATAGCACAAAGAAAAAAACAAAAATAGAAATGTGAACATAGGACAATCTCCTCAGGGAAAACTGTACATGCAGTGCTGTAGGAATCACAGTGCAGTCTTCCTCTATACTTGCCAGTTGATGGTTCATAAGATGCAACTTTGAGCTATTTCAGAAAACTGGTTGATCATTGGTTGATCTATGGGATGCTACACACATTTGTTCAAAGAAATGAGAAACCGCTTTCTTAATGTGCACAAGTGACACAATGATGTGAAGTAGTTTTGAGAATTTCAATTCTGATCTGAGAAATGTACCAAAGCGACTGAGAAAAACTGTCATGTTACACTGAGCAGGGTTTTCTGTGTTGAGCATCAGATCTGTCATTTAGAATAAGAGTTGATTATGAGGTCAGCTCTGTAAAAAGGGTATCCTCTTTTAAAACATACTAGATAATATATCTTTAATCAAAAGGCGTTTTTATGTTATTTATTTAACACTCTTAATTTGCTTGCATGTGTATGTAGTTATGTGTGTATGAAAGTTGGTATATTTTCATGCTTTCATGTACGTAATACACTGTAAAAAACAAACAAACATGTTTTTTAAAAAGCTTTTAAACTGTATTTTTTGAACACTTTACTGTTATTTTACAGATTCTCTCTGTTCATTAAATTATGACAAAAACTTCTAAAATAAGAGAAAAAACACATGAATTTACATGTTACAGTGTTTAAAAACAGGCCACAACTACAAACAATGTCCATATCAAAAATCAGTATTTTTACAATTAATAAAGATTTTTTTCTACAATGCTTGAATGTGAAATTACACTTAAAAAAAAAAAATCCTGATTTAAATCAGCCCAAAATATTAGTATTTTCTAGATTTTTATTGATGTTCCAAAGAAATATCATCTGTATTATGGACTGCAAAATGCTAAATAATTGAATTTTAAAGTCATCTTTGTATCTGTACATGTTTATATTTACAGTTAGATAGTGTTTATGTGGGTTACTGTGTTCAAATAAGCACTTAGAGTCCAGTAGCTCAGTACCACAATGTAAAAATTACATTGCAAAGTCAAAGCCCTGCATTTACAATTCTATTTGCCAATGGTTGTATTATCTGCAATATTTCCTCCAAGTATCAGTAGTACAAGTATTTGTTCTGCTGAAACTTTTCCCTAATAGCATTATAAGACAGTATATGGTTAAATTAACAATATATATAAATAATCTTTCATACTCATTGGGTTGATCTAAACTTTTCCTCTTGCCTTCTGAATAAATATCTGTGATAATATTCTGAGAAATTATTTTTGGAATTGTTGGAATTAATCAGATGTAGATTAGCAGTGACAGAAGGAAGTGGTGAGTCACATTTTCTTCAGTAAACACGAAAGAAAACGTGTGGAACAGGACTTTGGTACAGTCTTTGACTACATCATGACCCGCTCTTTTAACTTCTTTCACATGTAGACACTGTAACAGGCCTCGGCTTCTTCATTTACGTAGTTTAAACTGCCTGTAGTGTTGCCTTCATTTGGCTGACATAGAAATGTTAAGGTGAGAATAAATCAGCAAAATAAAAGCTGCAGTGTTTGGATTTGGACTGAGAGTTGAGAAGCTCAGTCCTGTTAAGGCGGCATAGAGTAACAAAAGTTAAAGAACAGGTCACGACATGGACGAACAGAAACAAGTGCTGTGGCACAAATCAGTGCTTCTAATTTTAGACAAATATTGTAGTTTTTTCTCTTTGGGCCCCAAACTGTTGAAATAAAACCCTGTAAGAAGTTCAGAGAGGGAGTCTGTCGCTGCTGGAAGCATTTGAAATGGGACAAAGTGACTCTAACAAGAAGCTGCTTCTGTTTAAGATCTAATCAGCCAAAACTGTTGGACTGCACTCCTTTGATATGTAACAATGCTTTGTGTTTCATTCGATTGTCACTGCAGACAGATCACTGAAATTAAAGGTGCAGACTTCAGAGTTGCTGTAAACAAACAAGTTATTACAGTGCATAGAAAATATTTACTTATAAAAATATATATTCAAAAATGAAAGTACAATATTTCCTTCAAAGTGAAGTGAAACAGCAGGGTGAAGAATCACATGGAAAAAGCAGCAAGAATTTATATTTATTTACAGCACAGTTCATGTACTTTCACCATGTTTCACTATTTCTAATGTGTGTTTATATTTATAACTTCATCTAAATTTAAGGCTTTACTCTTCCTACTTAGTGCAATTGTATTTTTTATTTTTCTTATAAACATTTCTTACTTTGACTTCCATGAATTAGATTAGATCAGACAGCTCTAATGTCAAAAAATGAACAAAATTACAGCATTTTGACAGTTAATTTCCTTTTCCTCCCTTTTTTCTTACAGGTATTTATGGTAACTTTAATAGCATTTCTGTTTAAGAGGATTTTTTTCTGGTAGCAAAGGTGCCAGATTTCCACTTTACTCTTTTTGTTTTATTTTTATTTTGTGGTTGTTGTTTTATTTGCCGTTTTGAACCATACAGTATTTCACCATTTTTCTAATGTATATTTTTAAATCAATGTGCTGTACATATTAAAGTTGATGTTGTTGCTTTTAAAGACTCACTGACTTTGGTGTTTTCATACAATGCATCTGTGAGCATGATTGAACTTTCATCTGCTCCCTGCAGGTGGTGTTAAACGCCACATTTTCTACTGTTTGAACTGTTTGTGCTCCGTCCTTAGATTTCTCTATTTTTCTTCCATTTCCCAATTCAACATTTCTTTGTCTGTGAGTCCCCCTCTTGTGCTTTGTCAAAAAAAAGTGGGCAGAAATGAAAAGTTGGAGGCGAGCTGGAAAGGAAAGAGGGCAAACTGAATGGGAGCAAAGCTTTGAGAGTTAATGTTGTCTTTTATCTTCCCTCCCTCTCTTCTCAGTGTAAAACGCTCACTTTCTCTGCCTGGATCACCTTATACCATTCTCAGGTTCGGCCTATCAGCACCTTTTTGTGTCGAGCTCTTGTTACCCCACCCCACCCTTGGGAAGATGGCATTATACTGTATTTGGAAGGGTAACAGAGCTCCCTCTATCTCCCTGAGACATGCCACTGACCTGTAATTAAGTCCCATTGTACTATTCAGAGGAAACTCCTCACCAAAACGGACAGAGGGCAGTGTGTGTGTGGATTTCCAACAGCTCAGATACCGCTGTGACTAATGCTCCACCACACAAGCCGGGTTTATCAAAAAGGAACACATGCAGCACACATTAGAGCTCGCATTTTCCCTCTCCAGAGAACTCAAAGCTATGTTGATTGGTAATGAGATACAATCCACGCTGTCCATCTCTCATTAGTGAGCCATTGCTGGTGCCTCAGTCTGTGTTCTCTCTGCTCGCCCTCTCTCCCTGTCTCTCTCTCCCCCCCTCCACCCCGTCCCCGACCCCACCATTCAACCCCATTGATCATGCATGCAGAAATTTAACACACCCCTTAATTCCTGTCCAAATAGCCCCTGTCCCACTTCCAGAGCTTCATCTGTTCATCTGCAGAGGATAGAGTGGGCCTGTGTGCAGGCAGGACACTGGCTGCGATGAGGATAAACTGTGTTGGAGGGGACAATCACAAATCTAAATCTGTGCCTGGACATCCTGTGCCACACACTCCCCAGCTCTGTAGTGTTTCTATAAGATACGGGCGCACTGCAGAGACATAATCAGCACGCTATTTTTTTTTTTTCACAAATGTGCTTTTGCAATTCAGTGTCAATACACTCTTCAAACTTTTCTCCAAACTCTGAGCCCCACGTAGGACAGCGCACGTTTTATACCCACCGTAAGTCAGAGCTGTCGTTGCCTTTGTTTGAGTTGCTCAAGCTATTGATTGGCCTTAACATTAGTTAGCAGGTCACATGTTGAGTCAGTGTTGAGAAGATTAGCCAGAGCTGGCTTTGCTACTAATTAAATACTTAAACCCCAGCAATGAATGAGCACACAAACCTCCTGTTATACCACATTGCATAAGCCGGTTTGCAGTATGGAAGGTGTATTAAAGCAGATATTTTTTTTTTGCTGGTGCTGCAATCAGCTGCACGCATGAAGTCTCTTCACACACATTTAGTTAAAATGACTCAACAGGATGCCTAGTTTTGATTTGGAAAGGTTAGTCAAGTTACAGTTACTAGAGAAGGTAATGTCAGCAATAGGGTGGGGATTGAAAATATTACGGGAGAGCAATTCTGCACTAAACTGTATGTTGTCACTCAAGAAACTTCCCCATTAAAGTGTCATCAAGGCAGTGACTTCATGTGAACCTAAAACAGGCTACAGGCAGTTGTGATTGATAACTCATTTCTGGTTATTTAGTTATCAGAACACTAACATATTAAATATAACACTGTAAGGACAACACGGCATTTATAAAGTGACACATAGCATCAACTGTTGAGTGAATGGTTAATGTGTTATTTTTGTATCAGATCAAATTAATGGCACATTATGCAAATTTTCTGACTAAACAACATCATTTGCATTTAAATGCTGGTGTGATATAATGTGTCGGTGTTAAAGCCCAGTCCAAACCGGTCAGGAAATCACAACAAATAAGTTCTGTATCTGTACATTGTGTTTGATAACACTTTATCTAAACCAGGCTGGAAATTCTGTCAAGTTAGTGAAAACTAACTAGAATGTGAGGGGAAGTTGAGAGGTTCTTACTTCATAGTAAAAGCTCCATGTTTTGTCACTTATTAGTGAGTAGGCTATATGGATGTTGTATTTCTGTTTTAATTAAGTCTATTTGATTGTTTTTTTAAACACGAATATGACATAGCAAGATGTACACTCACCAGCTGCTTTTTTAGGTACACTTGTGAAATCTAATGCAATTCAGTACAACAGATCTGCCATAAATTCTACGTCTTCATTTAGAGTTTTTGTTGATGTTGTCAAAAAAAAAAGAGATGCTTTAACTTTATGTTTATTGGAGCGTTTGTTGAATAAATTAATTGAATTATTTTTGTAGCCCCCAATAATATACACAAGGTAAAACATTAGCAACACTTTTAAATGCAATGTAACCCAGTACAGCACCACCCACCATGAGCTTAATAACAAACAATGAAGTAGGTTCATCACCTCTTTGTCAACCTCAGTAAAAACTAGAAATGTAGAAGCTCTGTCATGGTAGGATTTATGACAGAACTGCTAGATCAGATTACACAGATGTACCTAACAGAGAGACCAGCTACTGTTTTACTGTTGAGTGAATTCTCAGACAATAGTTGAATTGTTGATGTTCGCTGGCAACCTTAAAAACACAGATTTAACTGTCCGGGGTTTCATACATGAGAAACTGAAGGAAACAATCCTATCAACCTGCTGGGTGGAGCTCTCTGTTATGTTATTGGATTTCCCTTTTAATGACTCTAATATTCCAGCTTGGTTTGTTTGGAATCATTTTGCAGTGTTTGAGCAGAGTTAAAGGTGAGCTGGTGTGCTTGAGCTGCAGCAAATGGGAATGGATGGGTGGAAAAAGAGGCACAGACTTCAAACAGAATCTGGGAAATCCTTGAATTTATTTGTTTTAATATGTATATTATGTTATGATTATAACTTTAACTTTCTAAATTAGTCATATAGGGTTAGGTTAATCCCTATAATAAACTAATAAATATTTCTGACTGTCAGGTAAAGTTGCATTTTATATAATATTTGTAGGATTTTTTGTTCTCAATACTTAAAATACTCAGATAAAATCACAAAATAAATAACACTGTAGGGCCTAAACCTCATTATATGAACGTAAATCCTAATTTTTTTTTATTGTTTATTTTTTTCTAGAAAGTACTTTGGCTCAACCACTATTGTTTCTAATGTACTTTAGAAATAATGGTTACATTGCTTGGCTTAAACTCATTGATTTGCACACCATAAAGGAGGCAGTCGAGTTAAATTTAAGTCATTTTAAGGCAGGAAGGAAATATTTTCATGAAAAAACAAACTTCTAAATGTGTAACTTGTTGACGTTTTAGGAGTAAAATCAAAGACTGAAGAGAGACTAAATTTTCATGCACTGTGGGGACAATTGTGTGCATGCATTTAAATACATTTCCGGATATACAGGTAGGGTAAACCAGGGTATCAAGAGCACGTGTGTATATTTGTTGTTCATTTTTATGGTATTATGTCCTTTTGCCCTTTTGCTGCAAGTGCAAATTTTCCCAATGTGGGATCAAAAAAGGTTAATCTTATCTTGTTATTCAAACTATACCTATTAAAAGAAAACACCTGTTGTTCTTAACGGTGGCGTTTTCCCGGGGTTTACCCTCATACTCCTCGCTGATAATGAAGTCCTCATGGAGACAGTGAAACACTTGCCGTCGGGCTTTTATCTCGAAAGGCCGCACCGGAAGCGCTGCGGGTGTTCACAGTGGACTTGGCGCTGGTGCCGCGGCTGCCGGTGGTGGGATGAGAGAGAGACAGCAGCGGGGACTTGAGTGGAGGAGGAGGTGGAGTCTGTCCCAGCCTGCATCTGGCCCGCTCCCCTCTCTGTCACCCCGGGCCAAACCCGCCCAGCTCCTCTCACTCACTCTCCGCCTGTTTTCCCGCACGGCTCGGCCCGGACGCACGCAGCTCTCAGCCACACACACCGCCAGCACACGGAATGGACACGGAAGGGAGCCAGAGCAGCCTGTCCGCCACGGACTCCCCGCACGACCCCTGGTAACGCTGGAGAAAAAAAAAACAAAAAAAAACTTTGTTTTTTGAACTTTCTTTCGTACCTCTTCACACACCTCAGAAACAGAGCTGCTATTCTCGGTGCTCTCACACACACCTCCACACACACACACACACACACACACACACACACGGGCTGCAAAATCACTGATGATTCTCTCAGAAAAAGGATCACACACTTTAAAAACCTCAATAACAACTTTGCTAGAACTGAGTAAACCGCATGAACATGAAGCTCCCTGAATCCTGCCTTGATGACTGTGTAAATAGAAAAACATTTTCTCTCTCTTTTTTTTTTCCACAGCAAAATGTTCATAGGTGGACTCAGCTGGCAAACAACACAAGGTAAATCTTTTTCCACCTCTCTCTCTAAAATGCCACCATGTCTTAAAAAAAATCCTGGCATGGATTAGATTGAGTCAATCTGAAAAGCTGTATTTCTTAATATTTCTGTTTGCATGCATTAAAACTGTTTGTTTTTTGAATTTTGCATATTGCTCCAGAATGAATGCCCCCATTTAGAACTGCATAGAAAAAACGAGAGATTCTCAAAAGCTCATTAGAAACGGGCGAATTTGCAGTAATCACAGTTGGAATTATGTTGGGATTTTGTGTGTTTTGAGTTCTGATCACAGCTCATGTTATGTTTAACATGTTTAATGAAAAACTGTGTGAACTTTGGTGCGGGAAATCTCAGCAGAGTGACTCTGTTAGCCTCCTTCTGTTAACTTCTTATCAAAAAGTTGTCATTGCTCGTTAACCTCTCGTTTCATCTGCAAATCTCCTTTTCCTGCCTTGTTTTTGCTTTCCCCAGAGGGTCTGAAGGAGTACTTCTGCAAGTACGGCGAGGTGAAGGAGTGTATGGTGATGCGAGATCCGGTTACTAAGCGCTCGAGGTGAGGGAGCTGTGAGCCCGGCTTCTCCGCCGGAGCTGAAAGTTTATCTGACCTCCGTGATTCCTCGCTGCTCATAATGTATCATTACATGTCAACATCAGTTCCTGTGTCATTAATACCTTCTCCCTCCTGATGTCTGCAGAGGGTTTGGATTCGTCACCTTTGTTGATCAGGCCGGCGTGGATAAAGTTTTGGCCCAAACCAGGCACGAGTTGGACTCAAAAACAGTGAGTTCTCTGTATTTACTTCCCACCACCGGCTAATCCCGTTGCTCAGTGTTTGATTAGTGGATTTTCCAATAATCCGCCAGAGAGGTGTAACATTGCTACATTTTAGTGTGTTTACTGAGGTTCCACTATGCTGATGTTTTCCTCAAACCATGTCTGTGTCGGCCGCCACACCTCAGATGTGAGCGCCGTCGAGTCATTAGCCGACAGGGGAGACACATGGGAGAAAGTGCTTCTCTCTTCTCTCTTTAGCCAAACAGGCAAGAAAATGTTACCCAGTGTCAATTTCCATAGAAACAAGGGGGACTGGACAGGGTTGCATTCACTGCCAATCTTTGATTTGGCCTCTCGGAAGAGTGAACCAAGACTTTCTTTCTGCTTTTTTTTTTTTCGTCTTCTTTTTTTTCTTTTCCGTCCCCAAGGGGTCGAATTGACCCCAAAAAGAAGTTTCTCAATGGAAATGCAACCTGAAACCATCAAGGTGTGAAAGCAGCAACAATCAGACTCCTGTGAGCTTCCTCAGGATCTCAGGGAGAATAAAACTGCAAAATGATAAAGTCACATTCAGGGCCCCTCTTTCACCTGTGTGAATTCCGACTTAAAATGTATTAATCGCCTGTGTTGCCGAGTGGGTGTGATTGTGTGTGTGTCTTTTTGTCAGTAATGAATGTGGGCCTGGTCTGGGAACAATGTGGCCCGTTGGTCGCCATAGGGACCACTGCCCCCGCCTCGCTCCTCAGTGGGAGTGGTGATGGCTGCGGGTTAGCGACTGTATTGAAATGAGGGGAGGCTATTTCTTGGTTCCCCTTTTGTGCTCTGAGCGATGCACCTTCTCCAGTCTTTGGGAGATAAGTAGTGGAGAAGGAAATGGAGAAGACAAAAAAAAAAAAAAAAAGAAGGTTGTTTGATTGTAGAAAGTTAGAAGGAAATGAGAAATTTCCATTTTGTCCATCGTTAGCAATAGTGGAAGTTGTTTGATAGAGAAGTTGAGCTGAATTTAGTTTCTTTTTTTCTTGCTTTCCCATGTGCCCTACTGCTATAGTGTCACTTGCAGGCACGACAGCTATGACAAGTAGCGCCATCATGGTTGGACGCCACTAACTCACCATGGGGTTTGTTTCCATAGAGACTCCCCCCCTCCACCCCCCCCCCGTCTCCTTGCACAGTTGAAGAATGGCTGTGTCACAAAAGAAAAAAGAAAAAAAGATAACAATGCACATCATTTACCATCATTTCTTGGCTACCAGAAATCAAGACGATGTAAACATCCAAACAGAGAGCGATGACGACGACACTGACTCACGTTGCTTCTCGGGAAAAGGAAACTTATTGAGTTTGCTCATCTCAGACTTGGTAGATGAGGATTCCCTCTCTTTAATTTGAGTTTTTCCCCTCAGTTTGAGCCGGTGTTGCCTCCTCAAGGGCTCGCGGGCCCCTTGCGGCTGCCACTTTGGGCGTGTCTGTGGCGTTTTTGGTGGGGGCCTTCAGCCGAGTGTGTGCTTGGCGTGGAGAGGGCTCACTGATCAGCCACAGGGGTTGGATGGTGAGTAGA